TATTTTTTTCCAAAGATGCTGGAGAATAACACCTATCCTTCATGACGAGAACTGTGAGGGACAGCCATTATCTGGAACACTGTGGACCGAGATTTAAGCTGAATCTCAGAAGTCATATTAGAAAAAGAAGAAAGAGGGGCGCCTGGGTGGCTCAGTCGTTAAGTGTCTGCCTTCGGCTCAGGTCATGATCCCAGGGTCCTGGGATCGAGCCCCACGTCGGACTCTTTGCTCCATGAGAAGCCTGCTTCTCCCTCTCCCACTCCCCCTGCTTGTGTTCCCTCTCTCGGTGTCTCTCTCTCTGTCAAATAAATAAAATCTTTAAAAAAAAAAAAAGAAGAAGAAGAAAGAGAGTGCTGGAAGCTTTGTGTATGATTTGAACATGACTCATTTCTTTGTCAGTCTGATTCGTCAGGTGAAGAATAATTAGTTCGGTCCTCAAGAAGGGAAGTCTAGTTTGAGTAAAGCCAGCCTGAACTCTGGTGGACTGGATATGAAAGAACGTAAGCGCTAGGAGATTGGCTCAGGCTAAGGAGGATGCAGCCTCTGCGTATTTACACTTCCTACACGTTAGAAATGCTTAAAATTCAAGTGCAGTGCAATACAAGTAAATTTCTGAGACTCCCTATTTAATTTCATCTATCCAGTTCAAACAACTCTGACAGAATACCCAATCCTGAGACCATATTCTTCCAGGCAAAGGAGCCCACAGAGGTGTGCATGTGGGTAAATACCTAATACCTACAGGAGCAGCAGATTTTTCTGTCTGGGTTCATTCAGGATTTTAGAGCTGAACTTATGCCAGATTTGTGAGCATTTTTTAAATGACACTAGTGATCTTTAGGAACAGATTCTATTTTAAGCTAAGAGCCTCAATTTAAACACCTAAAATACCTTTGCTAACATAACTCAGAACTCCGCTGCCCCCTCAGCACCACCATGGCCCCCACACTTCCCTGGGTAGTAAATGATGAAAATGTTGAAACTTGCTGCTGCTGGATCATGAAAACTCTATTCATTGTAAGATATTCTAAAGGAACAAGAGGGGGAAAAAAGGTTCCCACACCTCTTGGTGCCCTTCTCTGCAACGGAGAGGCCATAAGCAGAAACTCAGCTCCATTCCTACCAAGCATAATGAAGATAAAGCATCGTAACAGGTCCCCACCAACCATAATTCCTCCGCATACACTTTTTTTTTTTCCCTCCTATGAAAAGGAGCATTAGCAAAAATTTTGGTAGAGGAAATCCTTTTTGCCTATGCAAAGGCATCCTATTCCGCTTATAATAAAATCTTAACGTGTCCTATTGAACTTGTTCGGCCTACAAGCGTCATTAGGAATGTCCGTTGTATATTCAAGCAGCTTATATGTGCCAATGTTTGTAAATAAGGGCCTATGTGTCAAGGGATATTATTAATTACTAAAAATATATGTGATAATGTGAGTTTTGTATCAACTACTGCATTTATAAGTATAGTGAAGCACAGGGTATGAAGAAAAATAAAAAATAAATTCTCCTATTGGCTTGCAATGTGGCGATACGTAGAATAATCATTTAGAAATTGTCCAGTGAGTAGTTACAATTAATTACTAGATCCATTTCTTAATTAAGAATGACTCTTAACACACTGGGTCTCTAGCCACTGGTCAATGTGGCTTAAATAATAGTATCACATATTCTAAGTGGATAGGTCCAAAATGAAACTCTGAAATAAAAACGTTTGGCCCCAGAGACCAATGCTATGCACCAGTCAGTATTCGACTATACATATGACGACATTCTCTGGATTACGGTCCTACCAAAATAGAAATTCAAAGCCGTCCCCAGGGAAAACACACACACACACACACACACACACACACACGCACGCACAGGCAGGTGCCTCCTCCCCTTCTCTTACCCAGCCCTTGGCACCTTTCTCTGCAGGTCACTGTTCTGGGGGAAAGTTAGACTCCCATGATTCGAACCTTCCTTGTCCTCTTCCCTCCCGTACCAAGCACAATTACCTGTTCCATGGCCTGGTCTCTCGAGGCCACCTGTCTGAAGCTAGCTAGATAATATCCCTACTTTGAACCATCAATGGCCTTCATTGCCTTTGTTCATTCAACAAACATTCACTGAGCATCTACTAGGTGCAGGTATTACTCCAGGTGTCAGGGATAAAGCAATGGACCAGTCAAATCCATCCCTCCATCTAGTGAGGGACGAGAGAAATAAGAAGCAAAAAGTCTAGCATGATCAAGGATGGTAAATACGAAGGAGAAAAATCAAACACGGGGCGGGGGGGTGGTATACGGTTCTGGAGAGAAGGGTGCAAGCGTCTCAGACCAAGACTGCAATGTCTCAGAGTTCAGAGTCGGCAAACATCTGCATCTGAACACTTTTAAGCACTTAATAGTCCCACCAAATTACCCTAAAATAAAAAATAAAGCTTTGTAGTAGAATGTAGGTAATTATTTATATGTTCTTTTTAATTTAAATTCAAAATAGTCTATCCTGCCCTAAAAAAACAAATGAAATCCCACTGGTATAAAAGAAAGTGAAGCAATTTTAGAAAACTCTAGAAACCCATTCTTCTCTTAAATGGCTCTCTGTCCATCAAAACGAGATAGTAGGAGGGTGGCTAAAAATATAACTTTACTTGTTGAGTAGAAAGCATGATACTTTTTAAGACTCTAGAGTGGTAAGACAAATCCAAGTCATTGTGGTAAGACAAAAAAGGTAAGCACGGAGCCCATGTCCTCTGAGTTACTGAGAGAAGGGGCGATGCGGAAGGGTGATGACAAGATAACATTCCAAGACCAAAACAGCTTCCCTTTTTTATTAATGCTCAAGAATTGAACTGTGAATGACATTTAGTAAGCAAAACACAAATGAAAACACCTCATTTGTATGTATAGTATATGTAAACATATACATTATATGGATTTAATGATCCTAATCTAAATATGAGAACAATTGTTTCCCTGACCTTAGAGTTGGCATTACTGTTTCTTACAGTGTTTCATATTTAACAGGAAGAATTATGGACACCCAAGTTCAAAGTAATCATGAATTCCATATTAAGGTATAAATAGAGTTTTAAAGAAATAAGCTGTATAATAAAATAAGTTTACTTTTGAATTGCAATACAGGCATTTTCTTCAATCAATAAAAATATTCCTTGATTATAAAGCAGCCATATTTTGCAAATGTATATCAGGAAAATAGCTCTGGCAATATTTGAAATACCACACTTCTTTTTAAAAAGGCAGCAAAGCAACAGAATTTAGATTTTAAATAGTATATTGCAAAATAGTTCAACATATTATTTCTAAGCACAAAGCGAGCTCCATTCTAAAGGATACTTTTAATCTTATAAAGTAAACTGTTTCAATATTTCTGTGTAGTTTAAAGGCTACATATCTACAATGAAAGATAAATCTTTACACATATAGGACATAAATGTCAATACATATCCACAACACAAACGTTTTACATTATATCACTCTATTTTGAAACCCAGTTTGTTAACATGTGCTCAAAAAGAAATACAAAAACATGATACAATTCTGTAGCTTTGTAACAGGCTGAATTTTGCAACAACTGAAAACCTAAAAACAGCAAAGGTAGCAAACACAATACCAGTTTTATGAATAGGACCAAAAACATCGAGAAATCATAAACATTTAAGTAACTATTATATTCTTCCTAACACATCTTAATTTACTCTCTTCTCTTAAATATAATTTTTCTAAATGTTTTTCATATCCCAGGAAGAAATAATGGCAAATTCTCCACAAAGATGAAAGTGCATTGTTTTAAAAGTGCTTCGTGTGTGTGTTTCATAGGTATGTCCAATAAGGAATTAGACAAGTCTGTGCAAAAAATTCCAATTATGACTTGAATTCATAAACCTAATGGTGGGGTTCTGTAGTTCATTCAGATGAGGCAATTGCCAACACAGAAGAAAAATCTGTGATTACATACTTTGTATAGAGGAAAGAGCACAGGTCAGGAGACCCCCATTCTATTCTGAGCTCTGTTAATCAGCTAGAGACTCCAGGTAAAAGAACTGCCCTAGAACTTCCATTTCTCTATCTGGCAATAGCTGAGAGGCTCAGCAGAAGAGCCTCGAAGGCCCATTTGACTCTAGAGTTTTAATGTATCTCTAGATGAGGGATTCCTGAAAGGGCAAGTCATTTCCAAAAAAAATATGAAAAATACACTAATCATAAGCTGCTCTTCTTATTAGTACAGAAAGAAAAACTCCAAAAATACTTGACAGAAAAAAGTATGTGAAGGTCATATGTTAACCAAAGCCGGTGAAAACTCTCACGGATGACAGCCTACGAAAAATCCAGTATTATGTGCAAAATGAAACCGAGTAAGCAACGTCAGTTGGTTACCTAATGGCACATTTTTTTTCCCTAAGTCTCAGAATTTCCTTGGCTCTAAAGCTTTAAAAGCTCTTAAAAATGCTTATTTTGAACTTGTTTTAAGAGAACCATGCTTGCCATGGTTCAGATTTCTAGCTTTCTAAAGGAGTCTCTCTGAATTGTTATAATGGTTTTTTTTTAAGGAAGACAGCTCTATTTTCAAATCTAAAATAATGGCTAAATAAACCACTGGCCATGGACTCTTTATGCCTGTATATGAGCTCATTGAATATGTTAGAAGTTTAACTCAACAATTCTCATCCACAAGCTTTGACCCATTTATTCCCCGATAGGTTACTCTGCTTGGCCTAACTAAGACTCCGTGGTTTGGCTTACAGGTGAAATAGCGCGTGTCACCCACGGCTCCGTCATTCTTCCCCTTGGCACTTCGAAGCTCAAGTCCAAGCCAGGTTCCAGAAGCAAAGTCAGTGGGGCCCACATACCGAACGGTCCCCATCTCATTAGAGCTGGTGAGGAGGACCTGGGACCCCTCGTGCAGCTTCACGCTCCCTTCCCCGCTCCCAGCGGAGGTGGTGCTGCCCCGGCCGCGGCGCAGGGCAGGTCTCGGTCTGGCGGAGGGAGAGCAAGGGGACCGCTTCAGCAGGAAAGCCACACAAGCCATCTGTCAGCTCCCTTCCCACCAACACCGTCACAATTCATTTGCAAAACAAAATACTCTCTGTTCACACCCTGATTGTTTTTATTCGAAATAGCCACATTAGGATATACTTTTGTTCAACATTTGAAACATTTTTCTCTCTTGGCTATTTTAATAGTACCCTAATCTGGATTTAAGATTTCACTAGCAATTTCTAAATACATACACACACACATTTTTACTTTCTGTAAAAATAGCCACTAGAAAAAAATACACTTATAACTTGTTTAACTGCACTCAATTATCAAAGCAAAAAAAGAAAAAGAAAAAAAGAAAAAAGAGAATGTAGCATTAGGGCTATGGTAAATTAAACTGACCTTTTGTTCACTCTTTGAACATTGATTTACCTGAAAAACAATGTTTAGAAACTGCTCGTCTATAACTTTATAAAATAAATTTATATCTATCTTCTATGAACGAACTCCAGCCACACTTCAGGGTTTACCACCCGCCCTGTCACTAACAGTAAGGAGGGTCTTAGTTTCCAGGCGCAGGACTCCTCTCCTTTTCTCTACAAAACGTTATTTATAATGAACTGCGTCCTGGCACCCGCCGCCAACCTGACCTGATAGCAAAACTACTGAGCACTCACGCAGGGATTTCATCCAAGGCCTCAAGACAATACTGTCCCTAGCACCCTCCACTGTCACTGCGAAGTCACTGAGCCTGGAACTCACACTAGAAACATCACCAGGTTCTTGCTGCCCTACATGACCCGAGACTTCCCCAAACCACCACCACGGGAGCCTTGCATGCTCCATCTGCGTACCACCTCTCCTCCAAAACAAAACCTTCTCCCCGTCCCCACTGTAGAGACAAGGCAGAACCTGTTACCAAAACTGCATGGTGCCTGGAAGAAGCTGGGTCCTCCTGATTCTCTATTTCATTTCACTGTCTATATTTCCTAAAACACTATCACACACAACATTGCATTTCCTTCCATTAACAACTCTGTAAGAAAGAAGACCACTCTAATTTCATGGGTAAGAAAACTGAGGTCCAAAGATTGGTCCCAAGCCACATTTGCCAACACGTGATAGAATTCTAGTTAGAAAATATAATGGAAAAAAGTATCATTTATTACAAACGTACACATACAATGATAAGGTTAACAAAGAATACGTAACACCTGTTGGGAAAAGTACAACCTTTACTGAAGAACATACAAAAGAAAAATATACAAGCTTTGCTTCTGGATAGAAACATGTATGTGTCAATTCTCCCTAAATTCACCCCTCAGAGGGATATTTGCAACCTCACAAAATCAGTCTAAATTCCACATAAAAATGATGCCGTGTATCATTTCCTGAGCACCTACTATGTGCCCGGCACTTTCCATCCACTATCTTATCCAACCTCACCCAAGCCACTGCTGTAGATATTACCTCCCTTCAAACAGAAGAGGAATTTGAGGACCAAGAAAAATTAAGCTATTTGCCTAAGGTCGGAGGTACGGTGAAGAGGACAGATGGGGCTCCCGTGCAAGGTGGTGCGAGCACAAAGGCCAGGCGCTTACAGCCACAGATGGGTATTAGTAATTAACACAAAGCTGAAAAATAACACAGCGAAGATTTACATTGCCAGCACATTAAACTCTAAAGTTACTATAACTAAAACAATGGGGCTCTGGCACAAGAATGTACTTCTACATGACACAGAAAAGATACCTTAGAGAAATACACATAATTTCTTATGTGATTAAAAAGGAACACTTCAAATCAGTAGGGACAGGAGTGAACATTCAACTAGGAGTGCTGTAAAAATCATCTGGGGGGAAAGAATATGATTCTTACCACTCACTGTATGTTAAAATAATTTCCAAATAAATTAAACAGCTAAATACATACATTAGAAAACAGGAAAGAACCAGAAGGAAATAGTGCTGGATATCTGCCTGAATAGACACACACACACACACACACACACACACACACGGGAAGGGAGGGAAACAGATAATGAATGAAAAGTCTAGCATCTACTATTAGTTAAATTATGATTTTTTTCACCTATTATTATGCCATAAAAACGTTTCTATATCACAGGACAGTCTTTTAAAATACTGCAAAAGCCACACTGAGGAAAACTGTTAAAGAATACAGGATTTATTAAGGGAAAAACTTTCAAAGGGTATGGAGAATCTGATTTGTCCATCTTGGTTTAAAATTCAGATACATGCTTTAGGAAAAAAATTAGGAAAGTATATACCAAAACAGAAGTGATCATTTCATCTAGGTGATAAAAATTACAGATGATCTTTATCTGCACTTAGTTTTTTATAATTTTTCAAATTTTGTACAATCAACTTTCATAATCAAAAAAGTTTTAAGAGAAATAAACTAGTAATAAATGAATTCAAGATCTAAACCAAAAACTCATGGTTTGGGTGAAGAGTTAACATTCTAATAAGAATGATCTGATTGATTCAAGTTACGTCTAAAAGCTCAGGGAAGTGAGAAACTTGGAATTATAAGTACATTTCAGAGCTACTCATTCAAAAACATTAACTAACCACCTATGAAATGGCAGGCCCAGGGGTAGGTTCTAGATTTGTGCATAATAATCAGTAAAATGTCATCAATACCAAAATACAGACTGTGTGTGGTGCAGAAGGAGCACAGAAAGAGGAAGAAGTCTATCCTCCCTTAAGGGCCAGGGAAGATCCTTCAGTGGGGAAGTGACCTGTAAGCCTCACTGGTGAGGCTATCCCCATGAGACCAAAGTCAGGGGCACAGACAGGAGCCGTGCGTGCAGGCGGGCCTTTAGATGCCGTGCCGATGAATCTGGACTTCATCGTGTGTTTGACAATCGAGAAGCTTCAAGGCACAGGCAGTGAATGCAAATGGATGATGTGACATAATGGAACATGCAGCAAACAGGATTCTGTGAGTTCTGCCTAAAGACATTCAAATTTGAGCTGACCACACAAACCGTGTCAACAGGCTGGATCCCACAGACGGGATGCGCCGTGACAGCACGGAGAGGAGCTGAGAGGAGCTGGCAGGACCAGGCTGCGTGTGGTGACAGGACACAGATGCAGGTTGGATGTCAGGCGGGCGAGGATGGACTCCTCGTGACTACCAGATCACTGTGGTGCAGGGTTCAAATCCCAAGCCCCCTTCCTCTCTAGCCCTATTCTTGGCATTTGATACACATAGAATTCTGAAAACACGAGAACTGCGTCAAGCCCCTTGCCGTCATGTTGTCCTCTGAATGAAATGCGTTCATCACTGTCATTTCGACAAATGACACAGAAAACCAGATCCTGCCCCCCTGTCCTCACGTCCTCTCTCATGTGGGGCAGGCACGTCCTTTACACAAACGCTTCAAGTTTCCTCCCCAGGAATTTTCATACCACTACGTTTTCCATGTTTCTTCTGGAAGTATCATTTATTCCCATATGAATAAACAAGAAAATGGTAGTGTGTGGGGAATCTCAATGAATTCATTTTTCAACCCAGTCCTCAGAATCCATCATGCTTCCGGCCTGGTCACAGCACAGTACCCGATCCCCTCTGTGCCATCGGCAGAAGGCCAGCCGTCACTCCCATGTCTCCCCCAGCCCAAGGTCACAGGCAGCTCTCCTACTACCTGCCAACACCCAAAGTCTTCCTCTTGTTCCTTAGAACAGTGTCCACCAAACATTTCAGTCCCGTACTCTATAAGCAAACATCAATTATTTTTAAAATTGATTTTATACCCTCAATGAGAGGTTTTTTTAAACAGGTACTAGTCTCAATCTGTAAAAGTATCAGTAAAGCTTCATTTCTTTTGACTTTTATAGAAAATAGAAGGTCCTCACATTTTCCCTCATGTCAGCAGATGATCTTGTGTCTACCCCTACCTGTGGTGTAATTCCCATGGTTCAGATTTCTTGTCCTTCCCTTGGTTCCCTGGACATCGTGTTCCCCTACCCCCATCATCGCACATGGCCTCTGACACTGCCCTTAACCCCGGGGCCTTTATATCCCGATGGTCTCTGCCTGGTATTTCTCCTATTCTGCCTAAGAACTCTTGGATATCTTCAAGAAACTGGAGCAGAGAGTCACTGCTCTTAACACACTCAGCCACTCAAGTGAGGAGACCAATTTCAACACTCTCAAAACTGGTGAAAGTTTGAAGGAAAGAAAAAAAAAACAAAACCCCCAGCCAACCCTGCTAAACAGTACCTAGCAATGTCTTAGGACAATCAGGGTTGGCAAGTGAAATTTCAGATCCTTGTGACGCCTGGAGTTAACTTCTCAGCAGATTATATAAACCGCCTACCTGTTGCTCAGCTGATTGCCCAGTCCGGTGCCTGGGCTCCGCTTTCTAGTGGCTTCCAGAGTACCACACTTAAGCAAGGACATGTGCTTTCCTGCTCAGCTAGTCCTTTTTTCCTTCCCCACCCACCCCTCCACAGCCGCGGACATTAGCCTTTAGATTAAGTGGAAAAATTTTTAATTTAAAAAAAAAAAAACTCCTTAATCCAATCAATCTAGAAGAGCCTCATACTCCTCTAAAAATAAAAAAGTTGGGGCACCTGGGTGGCTCAGTCGTTAAGCGTCTGCCTTTGGCTCAGGTCATGATCCCAGTGTCCTGGGATCGAGCCCCACATGGGGCTCCCTGCTCCACGGGAAGGCTGCTTCTCCCTCTCCCACTCCCCCTGCTTGTGTTCCCTCTCTCGCTGTGTCTCTCTCTGACAAATAAATAAATTAAATCTTTAAAAATAAATAAATAAAAATAAAAATAAAAAAGTTTCCCAGAGTGTCAGAAAAACATCAGGGGGAGTAAAGTGGGTCTGAGGGAAATCAATATAAATGAAAAAGAAAAAAAAAATTCTATAAAGAAACAACAACAAAAAAAGCATTTTGAGCAGTATATTCTAAAAGAGGGAGTGGGAGTATTTTTTAAAATAATACTAAAATCACTTTATGCAAACAGACCTGACATTTCTTTCATGTGTTGCTGAAAATATTAAATCAAATCTCTAATTAAAGAGTTTAAAATCAATCCACCCTATTCAATGGTAACATAAAATGTAAATTCCTCCAACTCTTATTAATGGTACTAAACTCTGAAAATACATGCAGCATAACTACTCTTAGTCATTGGTGACATTTTTAATTGAGCTTGCGCGGGAAGGAGGGAAGACTCTTCTCAATACACTCATGACACCTTTTCTCGTAAGTGCTAAAATTCTACCAAGCAATGCAAAAGGTACAAAATCTACTTTCTTCCTTCACAGAATTCTGTCATGTTCATCTTGAAAAGTGTTTTTCTAAATCTTCTTAATACTCACTTGGCAAATGCATTTCTTCTGTTAATCTCTTTTTGGGAAGAAGCAGAAGTCGTACTGAAACTTCTCCTAAAACCTAAATGTCAAAGTTAAGGTCACAAGAGGAAAAATAAATCACATTTGCAGTCCTCATTAAAAAGTATCTTTTATCATTTCTTCTATAGGTATTCTAGTCTATCAAATGTTTCTCTGGAAACAGAAAGCAAAGAAAGTTAAGTACATACAGAATATAATAGTGGTTTAGATTTTTTTGACAAATTTTTATCTTACCTTTCTCATCAAACTATGCATATGCAAAAATAAGATCATGACATTCCATTTGGAGGTTTTTATTATAAAATTTCTTGAAAACCAAATAAAACTAAATTAGACACTGATAAAGTTGAATCTTTTTATTCTCAAATATTATAATCTTGGTAAATCATATGAAAGAAAGGATAAAAATGGCTTTAAAAACACTATCACTAAATATGCCATTTGTAAAATATTGAACAATAAATTTCAGAGTTTATGATTCTTGGCATCCCCAAATGACAGTTATTAAAAAAAAAAAAAAAGATTTCATGAAAGGTACATTTTAAAAAGATGTCTTTAAAAAAGAGTAAGATTTCCAGTTCTGGAAAGTAATGGCAGACCAGATGTGCTGAATCCATCTCTTGATCAAAGCGAGTATAATTTTATACAACTATAATTAAAAATATATATATACTGTTGAGCTGATACAAAGGCACAATTTCAAAGAGATGTACCACAGGATTGCCACTAAATTCTAGAGAACTTTGGCTTTTGCCTTACCAGCTGCATAGGAGACAGGAAAGAACATAAAACCTGGGGCCTAACAAAAGGGGGACTCTAACACAAGACTCCTGGTTAAAATGCAGATCCCAACCAGCTCACCCTCAATGTAAGTTTAAATAAGAAACAGAATGAGGGGCGCCTGGGTGGCTCAGTCGTTAAGCGTCTGCCTTCGGCTCAGGTCATGATCCCAGGGTCCTGGGATCGAGCCCGCTTCGGGCTCTCTGCTCAGCGGGGGGGGAGCCTGCTTCTCCCTCTCCCACTCTGCCTGCTTGTGTTCCCTCTCTCACTGTCTCTCTCTGTCAAATAAATAAATAAAATCTTAAAAAAAAAAAAAAGAAACAGAATGAAACACCATTCTGACAAAAACAAAACAAAGTGGCTTGTGTCAACCTTAATGCTCAGAAGGTGGAAAAATTTTCTCCCTTCAAAATTTGTGATTATAAGCCAAATTCATTTTATCTATGTAATAAAAAAAAAATTGCAGGGAATGTAAATTAAAGTAGTCCCAGGTTGGCAGTACCTCCAGGAGTAACTGGCAGAAGTAAATATAATCTTCTCTGGAGACATCAACCCAGGCCTCAAAGAATTCCTATACATTAAATTCTGAGTAGAATAAGCACCTCACAATAATAAATTACAAAATTCACAAGGAAAGAAGGTACCATAAGTTAGGCTCACAGAAACAGATTGGCAGAACCATAAGTTAGGCTCACAAAGACTTCAGATATGGAATTATTTAACATAAAAATAACAATATTTAAAATGTTTAAAGACATAAAAACTTAAAAATATGGGGAAATAACAAGTGATAATAAATAACTACAAAACAGATTTGTGAAAAGGAAAAAAGAAATGAAAATTTTATAACTAAAAACTTTGTAGCGGGATTAAACAGCACACTAAACATAGCTGAAGAAAGAATCAGGAAACATGAAGATAGAGCTAAAGATGTCTAAAATACAGTCCAGAAAGACCAAGGTGAAAAATATAAAAGAGGCATGGGAAAGTGAGAAAGTCTACTACACTACTCATCAGAGCTTCTGAAGGAGATAATAAAGAGATTGAAGGAGAAATATTTTAGGTATACAGACAAGAGTTTTACAGAATTGATCGAAGATACTAATTTCCAGATCCAGGAAGACCCATGATACCAAACAGGATAATCAAAAAGAAATCTCCATCTAGACAACAGCATAGTAAAACTATACAACACTAAGGAAATAGAGAAGACTTTTAATGGCAGTCAAAAAGAAAGATAAATCACCTACAAAAGTATGGGTTAGGCAGACTCACAGGAGACTTCTCAAAAAAGTGACAGAAGACGAAAATAATAAAATTATATTGTCAATGTACAGGGAGATAACATCTTTCAAACTCAAATTTTCACAAATTGTTAGGTTTACCCAGTAAAACTATCATTAGAAAAGACAAAAACTTGAGAGACCCTTTCTAAAAGAAATTTCAAAAAATACACATGTGGTAGGGGCACCTGGGTGGCTGTCGTTAAGCGTCTGCCTTTGGCTCAGATCATGATCCCAGGGTCCTGGGATCAAGCCCCGCACAGGGCTCCCTGCTCAGCAGGGAGTCTGCTTCTCCTTCTCACTCTCCCTCTGTGCTCGCTTGTTCGCTCTCTCTCTCTTAAATAAAATCTTTAAAATATATATACAGACACACACACACACACACACACGTGTAGGAACAGAATGATCCCAAGTTAAAGTTCTAAAGATTAAGGACTAAAGTCACTTGTACATATGTGAGCAAATTAAATACTGGTTATTAATTATATTTAAAAAAACTATTATAATAATGCGAAATCTGTGGGGGAAATAAAATAGAAACTGAATAACTCAGTTTCTAAGGATTTTCTATCACTTGGGAAAGAGTACACCTGATGATCAATGTTAGACTTTGCTAAGTATGTATGTTAAAGTACCTACAGTAATTACTAAGAAGTATGTTCATAGAGTATAACTTTCATTCAAGTAGAGAATGGAATGAGAACAAGAGGGGGTAGGAATATAACTAGAATAAAGTCAAGAAAGAGAACCACAAGTATAAAAAACTGAAAAGTAGCAAACAAATAGCATAAATAAATCCAAATATATGAGTACTTTCAATAAATGTAAATAGGCGAAACTCTCAGATTAAAAGGCAAACATTGTCAAACCATATTTTTTAAAGAAGTGAAATCCAACCATATTCTATTTATAAAATATTCCAAAAACATAAGGATATAGAAAAGTTACAAGACAACTGATAGAAAAAGATGTATTAAGCAAATACTTGACCAAAAGAAAGCTGATATAAGGTAAAAGGAATTATTTAAAAAGCAATACCATTTACATTAACACCAAAAAATGAAATAGATTGGTATAAATCTAATAAGACATGTACAAAATCTATATGAGGAAAACTATAAAACTCTAATGAAAGAAATCAAGTAAGATAGAGAGGTATTCCATGTTCATGGATAGGAAGACCCAATATTGTTAAGACGTTAGCTCTTCCCCATTTGATCTACACAATAAATGCAATCTCAATCAAAATCCCAACAAATTGTTTTGTAGATACTATTTGGAAAGTTTGTCTGGAGAGGCAAAAAGCCCAGAATGACTAGCATAATATTGAGGGAGAAGATCAAGAAGACTGAAGAAACTTGAAGAATCACTATAAAGCTATAGTAGTTAAGAAAATGTGTATTAGTGAAAGATAAATAGATCAATGGAACAGAACAGAGAGTCCAGAAATAGACCCACACAGATATAGTCAACTGATCTTCGACAAAAGAGCAGAGGCAATTCAATGGAGAAAGGATAGATTTTTTTAACAAATAGTCCTAAAATATGCAAAAAAAAAAAAAAAAATGAATCCAGACATAGACTTTACACCTTTCATAAAAATTAACTCCTTGGATCATTGATCTACAGGGAAAACACAAAACTATAAAACTCCTACAAAGATAACACAGGAGAAAATCAGGATGACCTTGAGTTCAATGATGACATTTCCAGTACAACACCAAAAGCACAATTCATGAAAAAAAAAATTGATACCCTGGACTTCACTAAAATTAAAGACTTCTGCTCTGTGACAGACCATTAAGACAATGAAAAGACAAGCCACAGACTACAGAAAATGTCTGCAAAACACATTCTGATAAAGGTCTAGCATTCAAAGTATACAAAAAAAACCTTAAAATTCAACAGTAAGAAAACAATGAACACAACTTTAAAAATGAGCAAAAGACCAGAATGAACAATTCACCAAAAATGGACAGATGGCAAATATGTGCAAAGATCTTCAACTTCTGTTATGAACTGAATTGTGCCCCTCACTCATATGCTAAAATCCTAACCCCTAGTGCCTCAGAATGTGACTGTATTTGGAGACAAGGCCTTTAAAGTGGCAATTAAGTTAAAATCAGATGAAATAGGTCAGCCCTAATCCAAGATGACTGGTGTCCTTAAAAGAAGAGATTAAGACACAGACACATACAGAGGGAAAGACTTTGTTAAGACATGGGAAGAAGACCCCCATCTACAAGGCAAAGCAAGTGCCTTAGAAGAAACCAACCCTGCCAACACCTTGATCTTGGACTTTTAGCTTCCAGAATTTTGAGAAAGTAATTCCTTTGTTTAAGCCACACCATCTCTGGTACTTTGTTATGCTAGCCCTAGGAAACTAATACGACATCATAAATCATCAGGGAATTTCAAATGGAAACAACAATGAGATACTACTACACACCTATTACAATGGCAAAAATCCACAGGCCATAAAATTAATCTCAACAAATATTTAAGGACTAGTTATACAAATCATTCTTACACAGATGGTTATCGTATGGAAAAAAATGTAATTAGACCCTCACTGTATACAAAATCACTTCCGGGTGAATTGATAAATATGAAAAGCAAAAATACAAAACAAAACTTTTAGAAAGCAATATAGGAAAATATCTGTGTGAGGTTTGTTTTAGGAAAAGATTTCCTAAGATAAAACATGGAAAACATAATGGTTTGCTATTTTTTTTTTTAAGATTTTATTTATTTATTTCTCAGAGAGTGAGTGAGAGTGCACGCAGGGCAGGCAGAAGGAGAAGCAGGCTCCCCGCTGAGCAAGGAACCTGATGCAGGACTTGATTCCAGGATCCTGGGATCATGACCTGAGTCGAAGGCAGACGTTTAACCAACTGAGCCACCCAGGTGTCCCAGTGGTTTGCTATTCTGATTACTTAATATTTTTAAATATCTGCTTATCAAAAGACATCAAACGGGTGGTGGGGGCGGGGGAGGCAAAAGACAAGTTGAAAACCAGGCAGGCAAGACATTCACAACACACAAGACTGGCAAAGTATTAGTGTCCAAAATATATTCAGAAACCTACAAATTAATAAGACAAACCAAAAGAAAAATGGGCAAGAGACTTGAACAGGTACGTCATAAAAGAGAAAATGCATATGGCCCATCAAGAAGAAAAAAATGAGGCTCAACCTCATTTATAATCTGAAAAGTGCAAATTAAAACCACGAGATACCATTTAAATCCATCAGATGGGCAAAGACTTCTCAATCAAACAGGACTAGTGTGAGATAAGGGGCTGCAGAGGCTCTCACTCACTGCTCATGGGCACGTGCACTGCAAACAGTCTGCCATTACCTAGGAAGGCTGAAGGTCTGGATGGCCCATGCCTCGCAACCCTAGAGAAACTTTGGTAAATGTGTGCAATAGTCTAGTTTGTAGTAGTAAAAAAATATAACACAAATACCCATCAAGTATAGGATGAATAATATATTTTAATGGAACACTAACAAAATAGCCAACAACAATTAAATATATATACATTTTATAATATGTATTATTTATTAATATATCTATACAGGGGTGATAAAGATTTTTTTTAAAAATCAAGGGAATAATTAACATAACATTCAAGACTCATAATCTGAGGACAAGGTATATGAGAATATAAAAAAATTTTGATGAATAAAAGCAAAGGACCAATTATTAGGAACATAAAACAGTGTAAACCTACCAGGATAAGAATGATTCTGTTTATTCGAAGAAATTTCTGAAAGAGTATCCAGGGAATCTGTTATCCTGTGAATAAAACAAACCTCATTAGCAAACCTCATGAGAAGAAGCAGCAGGTCTTCAGATTTAAGATTGGCTCTTAACTGAGGTTTTCACACCAGTGGTTATTTCTTATTTCACCTATTCAACAAACATTTATTGAGCATCTATTAGGAGCCAGGAATGAACTTCAAGCTAGCACCGAAGACGGGCACTAACAAAAATAGAAGAGATCCTTGTTATCTAAGGATGAGTAATGCAAAAAAAAATCAACTTAAAGTAAATTCACTTAAAAGAGAGACCTGACTTTATTTCTTTGGAACTTTATCTTCCAAGATGAAACTAAAAAATCTGAAAATAAATTTGTTTTATGTTAAATTTAACAAATGTTCGATCAGAATTATAAAAACATCACATTCTTAAATTGAAAAAAAAAGATACTGACTCAGTCTGTGTATGCATGTAATTATCTGATAAAATTGCACGGCTAAATACAATCCAACATCTTTTACTTTATATTTGACTCTCAGCACAACCATAGAGGTAACTTTCCTGACAGGTCTGTCTGTATTTTTTAATATTCAAATCATTCTTCATTGTTAAAAAGCCAATCCTCACAGTCTCATTTTCTTTCAGTTGTTTACTGACCTGACCCACAAAGCCTTCATTCTGTCACCCACTTCCTGCAGGACACTTGGTCACCACCCAGAAATCCTGCAACTCTCGCAATATCTGCAATTCCATCTTGCACTTCATGTGCATCGTTTTTACGATATACACACTACGGCAATCAGTGAGAGACTGATGAACGCAAAGAATAGGACTTGATGAAGAGGACAGATAATTAGGTGGTGATGGGTAGTTGAGAACTTAATTCTAAAAGTGATCAGTTCATTAATAGTAAGTACCTAATCGTGAGAACTAAGAATAAGAAAATTAATACTGTGCTGATGAAGACCACCTAGGCAAAAAATAGGTAAGTAGGTAGAGAGATAAGATTAGATCTAGTCAGTAAGTCTTCTTGGAATTTCTGCAAAGAAATATTGGATGATTTATATATTCATAGAAAAAAAGGTATGAACTCAGTGAAAGCTGGTGATAGTAGAAAGCTATCCAAGCAAAGGAAATAACATTTGCGCAGATTCTCATAAAGAAGGCACATTTTTTTTCCTTAATGGAAAGGAGGGAAAAAAAGACAACTACAATCTGGGAGGAATGGGATTGTGATTGGTCACTACTTTATTAAGACTGTCCCCAAGCAGTCCTTAGTTTAAAATTCTTTCTTCTCGAAGATCAGTGGTGTCTTTCAAGAGCTCTAAAGCTGGTTTAAATTAGAAATTCCTCAAAATCAGGGACCATGTCTGTTTTATTTGCTTATAGAATGCCTAGCACAGCACAAAGTGCTAAAAGACACTTAATAGTATTTGATGATGATGAATGAGACAATCAGAAGATGACAGGAAGACAGCTGGATTGAGACAGCAGTTCATTTAGAGAGAGCCCTGTATCTTCTAAGAAGAGGGGGGTGCTTTTAAATAAATCACCTTAAAGAAGACCAGATAGAAGGCGAGGGGGGAAAAAAAGGTAAAAACCATGTGTTCCATAAACAAAGCAAGAAAAAGAACATGAAACCATGAGAAAGAAAGTGGCTTCATAATATAAAAGGGGGAAAAGCTGTTACAGCATAAAAAAATACTGCACTAGATTTGGTCAGTATTTACCGTGTCTAAAATATGCCAAACTATGTCCTCTGGGTAATCAAACATAAAATGAAGAACTCCAGTCCTCACGACTAAGAGACAAATAAAACTCGTAAGAGACTATAGCAATGTGTTAATGAAGATTTGTCGAAAGCAATAAGAGAACCCAGAAGATTGGGGACTCCAGCATGCATTTTACCCTCAATCAATCATCGATAACACATCGGTCCTAAAGAAAGTCAGCAACCCTCTTTTAATCATTACAGGGTACCAGTTAAGAACATAACTTCAGGGCGCCTGGGTGGCTCAGTTGGTTAAGCGACTGCCTTCGGCTCGGGTCATGATCCTGGAGTCCCGGGATCGAGTCCCACATCGGGCTCCCTGCTCAGCAGGGAGTCTGCTTCTCCCTCTGACCTTCCTCCTTCTCATGCTCTCTGTCTCTCATTCTCTCTCTCTCAAATAAATAAATAAAATCTTAAAAAAAAAAAAAAGAACATAACTTCAACTACCTGGGTTCAAATCCCCACCTGGGAGCTGTGCACACTTGCATAACTCACTTAACTTCCCTGTGCCTTACTTTCCCCCGCTGTGAAATAGGGATAATTACAGGACCTGACCCAGAGGGAGCTTCCAAGGTGTGAACAGTGCATGCAGCGCTATTAACTGCTGACACACAGAAGTGCTGTGCGTTGGCTACGGCTTTTTCTTATAAAATGCCTACCACAAAACAGCAAACTGTCTAAAAGCAAGGGCTTAGGAGAAACAACAAAATAACAAATCTGGGTTGAGTCCAGCTCCATCATTAACTAGTGTAAGACAGATCAAAATATGCCACTCCAAAACATGCCACTCTGGCAGAAGGATTATTTTGAGCTAAAGACATTTGAGAATCAACAAATGCAGGAAGAGGCTTTCTCTGAACTCTCCTTATCTGCCTAAAACAGGTGCTCCCAAAAAAGAACTCTTCTGTCCTATATCCCCTCCCCAGCAGTTTCATCAAGCAGGGAACTCCGACTCTTCTCATAGGTGAGGAGCGGGGAGGTTAACACCACATCACAAACTATCTTATCTCCCACCCAGTTAGCTTTCCTAAAAACCATGTGCCCTCCCACAAGTGGCCTTTTTCTCCCTCCCTTTCTCCTACTAAGATGGTCTACAAAAACTCCAATCTCACCACTTATATGGGTATTCACTTCTTTCTGTGATGCCCAGGTGCATGCGAATTTAAATGTAATAAATTTGTATGCCTTTTCTCCTGTTAATCTATCTGTTGTCAATTTAATTCACAGACAACACCCCCCCAATCCCCTCATCAGCTACTGACCCTAAGCGGGCAGAGGAAAATTTTTTGCTCCCCTATGATAACTATATGACTTTAGCTAAGTCACTTTATCTCTTGAAACTTCTTCACTGGCAAAATGGAACAACTATAATAACTTACAACTCACTGGGTTTGAGGGGGATTAATGAAATATGCATCTAAAGTACACTGTACAGAGCCCACCGTTTACTAAATGCTCAATAAATGTTTGTCATAATTATTATTATTTTCCAGCTTACCTGACCCAATACTTATTAGTATCAAATGAAACAACATTCAATTGAAGATACTTCATAAACTGCAAAGCATTACATATGTTCAATACTGTCACAAATAATGAGAAAAAAAGTATATCAATTACATCAAAGAAGAAGGAAATTAATACAAAAATTATGTGAAATTATTAAGAAAAACAAAGTGAGGTGGAAGACAGATCTAAAAAAAACTCTAAAATCTGCCAGGAGGCAGTCACACAGCCTAGGTAGAAGGGAACTAGATGGGGCTCTGGGATGTGATGGCAGATCCGTTCTCATGAACGTGATTACACCATACATGTTCTTTCCTAAAGATTAGCATCCTGTTTCCCCTGCACGGAAGAGCACACCAAGCCAACTTCTCTCAGCATGTAAGTCATTTCACATAATGGTACCTGGGATTTCATGAGAACTTGTTTCTGCTCAACTTGTTTTTTTAAAGCCAGAGTGAGCTGGTCCAGAAGTGTACCATCTTCAGGAGAAACACCGAGGAGGTACATTATATATAAATCCTTAAAGCTTCACTTCCCCCGAAGATCTACTGCCTATCTATTTTTGAAAACTAAAGAAATCAGAGGAAAAAGCCATTTTGGTTCCATTAGGTTTGGAGGAGAATGAATGGGGTGCCTGCTGGCAGGAAATTTAATGTAGTTAGGATGTGACTGAAGCAATCAGAGAGCATTTTTACTTTTGTTTGCATGACAGATTAAGCTTGCTGCTCTCACTGTTCTTAGCAGCAAACGCCACTTCTAATAGCCTACACATACTCATAGGGTTTGCAAATGAGGAATAAAGGACGGTTTTAAAATTGCAAATCCTCAGCAAAGCAAATTTAGCTTTCCATGAGCCTTCTCTCTGAAGAAGGTGGTGGGTTAACCCCTTGAAAGAAGATATGAGCTGTAGTCAGTGCGTGTCTTTAATATAAAATGAGGAACTCTAACTATAAACCCCTGCAAATTCCAAAAGGCCTTGTGAAAAAAACATAAATTTCCTTTTTCTCACCTTTGTACCCTGGATGGGGGAGCAAATATTCCATATCTTGGAGAACAACTAAAATACTGCACACCTCCAACTGAACCATCATTCTTGCCATGGGGTTTCTCAAGCTCTATACCGTACCAATATCCTAGAACAAGAATATTAGATTTTGAAAGCATCCGCATTTTACCCAAAATGGTTATGCTATTATACAAACCCAGAACCCGAATGGCTTAACATTTTCACAAAATGACCAAAATGATGGAAGAGCATCATGATCGTTGAGCTTTCAAATGATAAAATTTGAAAATTTGAAAAATGAACAGGAAAAACATTTTACAAGCACAATTACAGAGTTGTACACTAAAGGAGAGAGATAAAATACACAAATTTGGCACAAACTAGCTATTATGCAAGTAGTATTATGACCACAGTATATCTACAAGCTATAATGAAAAAGAAACTGCCCTTGACTCAGTGATACAGCGCATTTCAGTGGGAGAAGCACAACACAATACTGAGCCATATGGATCATAAAGTGCATGTGCAATCTTTTCCTTTCACTCTCCCAACATTCCAACATCACAAACTGTCCTTAAATAATTAAGGAAGGACAAAAGTAATATGGAAAATATGATTAGACTTCATGGTGACTCTTCTTTTTCTGTTTCCCCACCCAGGATAAAAAGAAAAATCATAATACTTAACCTTAGTGAAAAGATTTAGATTAGCTAGTTGGAAGAATTTTCTAAAAGGCTTATTTTAAGTATGTAAAAGGGCCCACTCTGAGGAAAATAACAGGACTTCTTTTCTAGAGGGCCAAAACTAAAGCAGTGAGGTTGCTTTTAGTGTGGTGAGAATTAGGTAGGTGGACATATACTCCTAGTCTAAGTGTATACATACATACTCCTGGAATAAGGATTCTCAAATGGAGGGTACCTCAAGACCAGTTAAAAGTGTCTAATGAGCCACTCATTTTTATTTAAAAGGAGAATACAGTAGTAATTGCATCTGGTCTCTTACAATCAGTATCAAATAAAAAATAAGAATACAGACGTTGAGAAACTTACTGCAAATTCCAAATTCCAAAATACAAAAATACTGTTTCTTTCAGATGACTAATTCAAAGAGTCTATATAACCTCAAAAATGGCAACCTAGAAGTTCTTCAGTCTTTTCCTCTTATGTTCAAAAAGATGACCCTTGAGCCCATTTCTCAGTACTTTTGCACCGAAAAGACTAATGCATGACCACAGTCCTCTATACTTAAGCAGCATACGAGTACAGAGTAACGTGAATAAACTTACTTCTCAGCCATACTAATGCTCTGGAAACAGGTCATCACATTTCCGAATGTCATTAACCAAGGTCGTCTGGTTGCCATTTTTATTTCTGAGTGCCACAGTTAACAATGTTCAATGTTACAATGTACCATATAATGGCAACACGTTTACCATATGACTCTTGAAAAAGTGTAACATCCCACAGAAAGACAGGACAAGTGTGAACAACTGTGACTACACCTTGTCTGGTAGTGGTGAGGTACATATGGCTTCCCACTTAAATGGTAATTTTTTTTCCGATAAGAAGGCTAACGAGGCTGAAAACGACATCCTTCAGGTCTAGATCTTATAATCGAAAAAGCTTCGATGAATCAGCGCTGTTCTCGAGAACCGGCTGATCTCAGTTTTGGTGCCACATGACATGCATGCGAGTAGTTTCCAAAAGGACAGAATGACCTTAACAGAAGGGTTTCCAACTTTACGTTTGCTTATGACTACCCCAATTTCTGGACGCTTAACCTTAGGAATTTAAAAATTAAAAGTCGGGCGCCTGGGTGGCTCCGTTGGTTAAGCGACTGCCTTCGGCTCAGGTCATGATCCTGGAGTCCCGGGATCGAGTCCCGCATCGGGCTCCCTGCTCGGCGGGGAGTCTGCTTCTCCCTCTGACCCTCTTCCCTCTCATGCTCTCTGTCTCTCATTCTCGCTCTCAAATAAATAAAATCTTTAAAAAAAATTAAAATTAAAAGTCAACCTAAAACAATGAATTGCATCCAGTGAACCAAAACCACTCTAATCTTGTTTAATATAGAAAAAGGGAACTCAAAAGACATGGAGATTGTGAAAAATAACCCACCTTTGGGGTCTTAAAAGTTTTTATTTGAGAACTATATTAAGACCATCCTAACTCATCTCAATTACTACCTGGAGACCTGTGAGGGACATGAATTATACAACACACAGCCCATCTCAAATCAATTAGCTGGATTGTGATTATAAGTGGTATAATGAAACAAGACTGTGCTGGGAGACAATTCTCCGTGGCTCGCTCATGTTTCTGCATGTCTTATGAACAGAGGCACCGTGTTTCCATGGATGTCTGCACAGAGGACAGCCTTGGAGGACAGAGACAGGGTGTGGGCCGCATGCCCCACCCAAAATACAGACATGCGTCTTGTCTAGTGTACAGGTTCAGATTCCTTACACTCAGGGCTCTTCTCCTGTAGCATAAACCACTGGGTGTGCAGGTGTCACCTCCCCCCCACCCCGGGAACTGGGGCTCAGGAAGCAAGTGCAAGAAAATGCTGACCCTTGGGGCGCCTGGGTGGCTCAGTCATTAAGCGTCTGCCTTCGGCTCAGGTCATGGTCCCGGGGTCCTGGGATCGAGCCCCGCATCGGGCTCCCTGCTCGGCAGGAAGCCTGCTTCTCCCTCTCCCACTCCCCCTGCTTGTGTTCCCTCTCTGGCTGTGTCTCTCTCTCTGTCAAATAAATAAAATCTTTAAAAAAAAAAAAAAAAAGAAAGAAAATGCTGACCCTCTGCTTCTGCTGCTGCTGGGACTCCAGAAGTCCTGTCCTTGAATCAGGAGCCTAACGTCTTCCATTAGCATTTATGAAACTGTGGCAATCTAACTTGTCAGCTTACACACGTAGGGTAAAATCTCAGGTCCTTCACAGTTCTTGACAGAAGGTTACAAATTTAAAATCAATGTTCTGGGTAACCTTTTCCTAGAATGCTGCAACGCCGCCATGTGTCAAAACAGCATACTGCCACTTAAAATACACAAACATGGTTTCATTCACCTGGCTTCTATATTTGAAATTAAAATCATTGAAAATGCAAAAGAAAGCTAATCTTTACTTTTGGAAACACAGTATTAAGTCTAGATTGGAATAAATATGTAAATACACAAACATGTATTTTTAAGGTCCCAGGGTGCACAGAAACTTTTTCATTTTCCCTCGAATCTGTCTGTTGGCTTTTCTTTCCAAGCCACTCAGATAAAAGCGATATGCTGTGAACTCATTTTTAGAATATCCTTAGCAATTTACCCAAAGGATACAAAAATACTGATTCGAAGGGGTACATGCACCCTGCTGTTTATAGCAGCATTATCAACAATAGCCAAATTATGGAAAGAGCCCAAATGTCTATCAGCTGATGCATGGATAAATAAGATGTGGTATAAATCCCCTGGAATATTACTCAGCTATCAAAAAGAATGAAATCTTGCCATTTGCAACGACATGGATGGAGCTAGAGTGTATTATGCTAAGAGAAATAAGTCAGACTAAGACAAATATAATATGATTTCACTCGTATGTGGAATTTAAGAAACAAAACAGATGAATATAGGGGAAGGGAAGAAAAAAAAGGATGCACCATGAGACTGCGTGAGAGACTCTTTAACTATAGAGAACAAACTGAGGGTTGCTGGAGGGAGGTAGGTGGAGGATAGGGTGGATGGGGGAGGAGGATTAAAGGAGGACACTTGTGATGAGCACTGGGTGTTACATGTGAGGGATGAATCACTGAAGTCTACACCTAACACCAATTTTACCGATTATATGTCAACTAGAATTTAAATAAAAACTTGAAATTAAAAAAAAAAGAATAACCTTAGCAAAAATCTAATCCTGATATTTTCTCTCTGTTATTGAGCACGCTTGGCAATCAGTGAGCATGAAGTTGGAGAAGGGCCACGAATTTTAACATTAGACAATTTACAATACAAGTGAGATTTCGCGGACGACAGTCAACCCGAGTCCAGTCGGTGTTTCCATCACTGTTTGGCTTCGCCGTTGCCATAGATAACTAACATCCACAAGAACTGTTCATCAGGAATTCCCTACATGTAAAATTTTAAACCTTTCGTATTCTGAAGCGCTCAAGCGGAGCCAAGAATATCCAGATGAGTTACCTGGAGCAAAGTTTGTTGTCCCGAAGAACTTAACGGTGCCGATTCTCTGGCCTACCACCAGCACTCTATCTCCGAGGTGGGGCTCTCCTGCACAGCGGCTGTTATTTGCTACAGATGCTCCTGAGGAATTCAAACCTGTTTAATTGGTTGGTGGGGAAAGGGGAAGGGGCAGGAAACGAGGAGGGAAAAGAGCAAAGGGGAAGAAAAAAAGAAAAAAAAACAACCTCAAAAAGTGTATTAGCCAAAAAATCACCACGTGTTCTAACCAGTCTAGCTAGTTGAGAGATCTCAATGTATGACACCCTTCATGATATGCATCACCTACAGCTGTGGTTCTCACATGTGAGGCCAAGACATTCAAGGAACGTGTGAAGGGTTTCCTGAAAAAATTATTGCCACAAGAATCTGACGCACACGGTTCCTGGTAAAGCATCAGTTCTACCCAGACTGCCCGGGGTGCACTTACTCCCACAGAGGCCAGCACCCTTTTTCCGCAAAGGGCCAGGGAGTGAGTACGTGAGGCACTGCAGGCCGCGCCGTCTGTCGTGACTACTCGGCTCCACTAACCCCAGCACAAAAGCAAACCGGCCTGGCGTGCTCCAGAAAACTTCACAGAAATAGGTGGCACGTCGGGTTCAGCCCATGGGCTGTATTTTACCAATCCCTGTTCCGCTAAAATGCTAGAATCAGAGCAGTTCATTGGGACTCAGTGTGAATTATATATACAGGAATGTGATCTGAATGTGAAAATTGCTCTGTTTCCAATGAGCTCAAACTGATTTCCTTATTAGGAACCAAACCAGTCCCCCTCACCTTGATTCAAACCTAATCCTTCAAATGCCCACTATCAAACATCCTAGAGAAATGCTGTCTGGAAAGCTGTTCAATTATAACACAAAGTGGGCCCTTGAGGCTTCTCCCATCAGTCCATAAACAGACTTGAACAGCTATCATCTGGGAAGGCCTACAGAAGCCTCTGTGAGGACAGGGGACAGAGGATAAGTCACACGGCCAACAGGAGAGAAACTAAAGCCATGGCAACAAATGAGGAACATAAACCCAGAGAGAAGGCAGGGGTGGATAAAGCGCTATGCTAAAAAATCCTAGGTCCTCATAATAACTAATATTTCTAATGCACTTCAGAGTTTGCAAAGTGCTTTCCATAGAATTACAACTATAGATAAGACACAAACTCAGGAATTAACTAAGACATGGTGTTCACAGGTAGTCGATGGCACACAAGGATGAGAGCCCGGGGCTCTATGACCACAAGTCCTCAGGCGGGTCTCCAGGCTGTGTAATGGACCAAGGACAGCATGTTCGATCATGGGATACAACGATGCTGAGAACACACACCTCCTCCCCTACCTCTGCCATTCCCCTAATCTGTTCTTTCTGCTCCTCTTTATCCTCACTTCCCAATATGTCCACATCCCTCAAATGCAAATCTTTGGAGAAAGTGAAATACCTACTCACTCTAGAAAAGTGTCCTAGGGAAATGTCTCTGAGGTCGCAAACATGGACTTCCTCTCACGGATCTCCCATTCTCTCTCCCTCCCCTCCTAAAAGGTCTTCTTGCTCATTCTAATTGACAGGTCTCTTCATCTACTGCTATCTAAGCCTACATCAGGCTTAAATTTATAAAAAGAGAAGAAAGGTTAAATACATAGGTACACTAGAACTACTTCTTATAAAAGTAAAACAGGTACTTCCATATGCACATATAAATTTTAAAATCAAGTAAATGTCAAAAGCCCAAATTCCAAGTGAAGGAGGCCTTGTAATGTGAATAAAATGAGGACAAGCAGGAATGCTATATCCCTATCTTGGTAGCTCTGTTCTTCAGGGGGCTAGACAGAAACTGCTCACAGGGGAAGGAGCACCCACACCGAAAATACAAGTTCCAAGTAAACAATTTCAGGCAAAACTTCTAGGTTCTCTGCTTTTAGAGTCCCACCCGATAGGTTTATTGTCAATGTTATCGCTGAGGGCTCCTCCCCATCACAGTACAGTAAGTATTTTAAAGAGAAAAAAAAAAAAAAAACCCCGTCACGAACATTTTCCATAATAAAATATTGCTTCAGTACAACTGTTAAAAGTACGTGAATGAGAATCTTATTATGAGGTTCACTGAAAACAATTTATGCCAAAACGGTTTCATTTCCTTTCCGGACAAGTTTGCTATGTAGCCAAATGAGCGAATGGCAGTATGTTTCATATATGTTGATTTCGGCAAGATGTCTGCTATGAAGTGCTTTCTATATCCTTACATGTAACTGGAGAAATGTGGACTGAACAAGGTTACTCAGGACTCGCCACATCCCAACGGATTACTATCATCAACCTGTCAGGAGAGCCACTGATCCTCTCCTACCTAGTGTTAAACAAGGACTTGAACTTCAAATATGAAGACGACACAGAAGTATGTGGGAAAGCTAGTATTCAAGGTGTAAGCAACAGAATGCAGAGGGATGAAACCTCTAACATTCAATTAAAGGAGAATGCAGGTAAAGTCCTACATGAAGTGGCAACAAGAAGGGCCCTGGCCAGAGGCTCCCTCGGAGCCAGGATGATGGTGTGGTCGCCACACTGCAGGAGGGGCCTTACACTGTGCTTGTGCCCATGGGCAACAGTTCAGCTCTCCATGGGCTGGCCATGAGTGGTCTGGAGGCCGAGGAGCAGGAGGAAGAGCGGAGGTACTTGGGATGGAGGCAAACCCTAACAGCAGCAGAGGAAGCAGCCGACCGACCGCAGGCTAAAGCCTAGGTGTGCCACTTAGAAATGACTTACCTCCCCTAAGGGGTAAGTGGCATCAGGCACCAATGACTTACCTCCCCTAAGCCTCGGGTCCCTCATTCATAAAATGAGAGTGAGAATAATAGTACCTATCCAAGGGTTTGTTTTGAGAATTAAGTGAAATAAGGTATGTAAAGTTGCTTAGAATAGAACCTGAAATAATAAGTATACAATACATGTTAGTTATTATTAGGTCTAGATTAGAAAAGAGATAAGAAAGATAATAACTGTATGGTTTCCACGTATCTGAGGATCTATCATAAATTTCTAAAACGATCCTTACAGGGTCAGAGGTGTTACATGCATGTGGTAGGGAAGAAATCAGTCCAGACAAGGAACACGGCAGGAGCACGGGGAGGGAGGCAGGGAGACCGAGGACGCTCACAAGAGGTGGGGGGCACGGGGAAGACAGAAGAGTACAAGTAGTTCTATCTGACTGAAGTAAAAAGTTCCTTCTACACATTTAAAAAGAGCAAATCTACTTACAAACAAACCAAGATAAAAAACACCAAGAAAGCCTGGTTGAAAAAGCCATAGATACCAGCACTGGTTCTAGAGGAGACAGACGGGCTTTTGCTCACTGTCTTCCTGTTATTGCTTTGTGCATTCAGTTTCTTGGGGTGGTTCGGCTTGTACTCCAAAGATGATGTGGAGGAGGAGCTGCTGATGGATCCGAGCAGGGTACCTAAGACAGGTAAAGGAAGAGAACACAGCGAAGGGTGGACAGTAAGAAGTGAACCAATAAGATGCGTTCCCCGGTAAATCCCTCTGAAACCCTCCATTTAGCTTCCTCAGCTGTGGAGTATCTAGTGTTGAATTAAATGCCTGGTTTCACCCAGCTGTCCTGTAGTTCATACAGACAAGACTTATCAGCCAAGCTATTGCACTGTAAGGGTTCGTGCTGCATGAGGACACTCTCACACAGAAGAGCACATCCAGCTTTACTGAAGCTGATGACCTCCCTATTCCCCCCACACTCTCTCTCACCTCCCACTTTAGATGGCTTACTACAACCCAATCTTATTTACACTTAAAAATTCTATTAATTTGGGGCGCCTGGGTGGCTCAGTCATTAAGCGTCTGCCTTCGGCGCAGGTCATGGTCCCGGGGTCCTGGGATCGAGCCCCGCATCGGGCTCCCTGCTCTGCCGGAAGCCTGCTTCTCCCTCTCCCACTCCCCCTGCTTGTGTTCCCTCTCTCGCTGTGTCTCTCTCTGTCAAATAAATAAGTAAACTCTTAAAAAAAAAAAATCTATTAATTTAAGATAAAAAAAAGGTAGTATTAAAATGTTTTGAGTTGGGGCGCCTGGGTGGTTCAGTCAGTTAAGTGGCTGCCTTCGGCTCAGGTCATGATCCCAGGGATCCCTGGGATCGAGCCCCTCATCAGGTTCCCTGCTCAGCGGGAAGTCTGCTTCTCCCTCTCTCTCTGCCTCTCCCCCCTTGCTTGTGCTCTCTCTCTCTCTCTCAAATAAATAAATAAATAAAATCTTCTAAAAAAAATGTTCTGAGCGAACCTGAAGGCAAGCAGGAATACTCTTGAATGTGTTGTTCCTGCTCTATTCACCCAATGATTTGATAGCTGAAGGCGATTTTAAACATTTTTATCAAGCCATCTATACTTGGAATTTCCTTTTGGTCTCCCGTTTGACTTAACCTGGGAGCCCTCTAATTTGTGTACACAGAGGCACCACACAGCATTTTATACCAAAACCACGTATACACTTTACGATGAGCCACTTAAGGTATTTCCGAGGATGATTTTTCTCTCAAAAACGTTAAAACTTAGCCCCCATATAAGCTTTATCACTATATTATATTAAAGTTCCCTCTGTAAATTAGATTTTTAGAATGGAAGTTATAAAATTATTTTACCATCTTTCTCTGTTACGGGTTTCGGTTCTTCACCAGGAGGCAATGAAAGTGTTGATTCAGAAGCGCTGTCTTTTTTTGAAGTCATTAATCCTGGCATGTAGAAACAAAATATGTTCAGCAAGAAAGAACTTCAACATTAAACATACAAATGTACTTGCTGTTTAAAGGACAGACATCCCTCATTATCTAAATCTTCTCCACTTCTGGAAACATGCCGGATAGTAAATTCACAGACAGCAGGGGCCGATCCAGTATTTCATTATGTGAAGAGGCGGGGAAAAAGAATGCATCCTCAGCCCCTCTGAAAACCTCAATCAATTTCCTCAAATACCACCAAGGTCTCTTTTAGACCTATTTAACAATCCACTAAGGAATTCTAAATTCTATAAAACAGTTAAAGCCCAGGGCGCCTGGGTGGCTCAGTTGGTTAAGCGACTGCCTTCGGCTCAGGTCATGATCCTGGAGTCCCGGGATCGAGTCCCGCATCGGGCTCCCTGCTCAGCAGGGAGTCTGCTTCTCCCTCTGACCCTCCCCCCTCTCATGTGCTCTCTCTCATTCTCTCTCTCTCAAATAAATAAATAAAATCTTTAAAAAAAAAAAAACAAAACAGTTAAAGCCCAGCTACCTAGCTGTTTGACTTCACACACTCATGAGTGTGTCCGCACAATGCCGGCAGGTAGAGAGCGAAACTCACGCAGCTCTAGGACAACCAGGACTTGCACACAACTCACAGATTTCACTCATGTGTCTGCAAATCGGTTACAGCAGAGTTTCTACTTAGATAGTGAATTCTGGGTAAAAATTTTGCAAACCATCATAGCCACTCATCAGATGCAAACGAACATGAGACAGGAAGAAGCCCCACACTCTCTGCCCCCAGCGCTCTGACGACGACAGCCCCGCTAGCACCACACCCAAGTGTCACAAACAGACTCACTTTAAAAAAGAAGAAGCCCACAAATAATACTTCGCCTTATGAAGACTTCTGTTTCCATTCTAGAGAACCAAATTATTTAAATAGGAAACCTAACGGACTCCACCCAGTTTTAAATTCCATCAAGCACCCATTTCAATTCTTCTCGCTTAGGAAGCATCCGAGCGAAGGACTATCCTTGGCACTCTGAGCATCCCCAGCGTGAACGAGACATGGTCCCAGCCCGAAAGGAGCACCTTCTCAATTCAGAATGGTAGAATGATGTGAGCATGAATAACTAAAATATGAGGACATTTATTGATAAGCACAAAGGAAAAAGACAATAATTGTGGTTACAAAGATAAATTAATGCCTCATCAAGGAGATCACATTCTGAGCTATGTCTTGAAGGACAGGTAAGACTTCCAGGGGCGCCTGGGTGGCTCAGTCATTAAGCGTCTGCCTTCGGCTCCGTTCATGATCCCAGGGTCCTGGGATCGAGCCTCGCATTAGGCTCCCAGCTCAACAGAGAGTCTGCTTCTCCCTCTCCTTCTGCCCCCGCCCCCATGGTCTCTCTCTCTCTCTCTCAAGTAAATAAAATCTTACGGCGCCTGGGTGGCTCAGATGGTTAAGCGTCTGCCTTTGGCTCAGGTCATGATCCCAGTGTCCTGGGATCGAGTCCCACATCGGGCTCCCTGCTCCTTGGGAGCCTGCTTCTCCCTCTGCCTCTCTCTCTCTCTCTCTCTCTCTCTGTCTCTCATGAATAAATAAATAAAATCTTTAAAAAAAAAATAAAATCTTGAAAGAAGAAAGAAAGAAAGAAAGAAAGAAAGAAAAGACAAGACAAGACTTCTTCCAGAGCATACTGGAGGTATGGCCAGAAAGAACTGAAGATAGACATTCTAGATGGGCAAAAAGAAAAGGAAAAATCTTAAGGACAGGGTCAGAGATGGAGGAGTAGCATGGCTGGAATAAAGAGTATTTTTTGGGACGTGGGAGAAGTAAGACTGGATAGACAGGTCAGAGTGAAATCTCAAAGGAGGACAGTGCCAGATAAGGACCTGGTCCTCTTGTGGAAGGAATGGGCCTCTGATGGACCTGAACAGGGCTGGCATGAACGGGGGGGGGGGGGGGGGGGGGAATAACATTACCCTGACAGCAAAGTTTAGAAGGAAGTGAGAGGGGTAGAGGTAGGAAGCATGGACCAGGGAGAAGTTCTTACCATAGGTGGAATGAGGACCAGAGTGACAACAGCAGGAACTGAACAGAGGGGTGGGTAAGAGAGACTCTGTGAAGGCACCCCACGGAGCGCATTTCTTATTTTTCAATTATATTTTTCAGTTTTAACATGTCCATTTGGTTCTTTCTTACTTGAATTTTTTAATTGAGTCACAGGAGATTCACATGCAGTTGTATAAAGTAATACAGGGAGATCTCTTGCACACTTTGCCCAATTTCCCCAAAGGTAATTTTTTACATAACTATAGCATAATCCCACAAGCAGGATGCCAACACTGATACAATCTGCCAATCTTAGGTCGCCCCAGTTGTAACCAAACTCCTTTGTGCATCCGTGCGCATGTGCATGTGTGCTCACACATCATTTGATTCTTTTTTATATCCTCATTTCTCTGAACTTTCTTTCCACTTATTTCAAGAGTATTAACCTTAATTCTTAAAGAATGGTTAATGTATTATTTAAAGTCTTTATCTGCGTCATGTCTGTGTCCTGTTAGGGTTGGCAACCTTTAATTGTCTTTTTCCTGGAAAGATGTTGAGATTTTCCTGGTTTTTCTATTTTGAGCAATTTTGGATTGTATCCTGTACATTTCGAATATTACATTGTGGGACTCTGGGTCTTACTTAAGTTCTACAGAGAATGTTTATTGTTTTGTTTTGTTTTGTTTTGTTTTATGAAGGAGTCAACCCAAACCAGTTCAGGCCGGACATCCCTACCCGCCTTCTGTGCCCTATGGTTCCAATGTCAGTTCAGTTTCCAAAGACTTTTTGGGATCTTTCTCCTATGATGCGCCCTCCAGCAGTGCCTGGGACCTGGGCAGCGATCTACCCCGGAGACCAAAGCCTGTGGTCAGATCCACACACACACCACTGGAGAGCAAGCCCAGGAGTTCACACCCAACATTTTGAGATCACTTTCTTGAGCTCCCTGCTCTCCATGGTCTCCCTGTTACTTTCTTGCTCCCGGAGGCATCCCTTCCCAATATCTGGGCAGGATGCCTAGGCTTTGGTTTCCCTGCTCTGTCATGCAGTCTCCCGGGACTGACTCTGCCCCTGGGAACAAGCAGAAGACAAACTATCGGGGATTCCATCCCTGCTCTTGGGACCACAGTTTCTCCGGTCAGAGAGAAGGGTTCCCCTCCCATGGGGTTTCAGGTGCCTCACCACCTACTACTACTATTAAACCATGGAGGACTACCCAGGGACCGGCCTGGGAATGGACCAAAGGGGGGGGGAAGCTATCATAAAAAAAGGGATTTCCTACATTTTCTGGCTAGTAGGGGACCCCTTCCCTAATCCCTAGACCAGGAATGGAGGGCTTCTCTTTGGGCTTTCTTTCCATGATGGCTGTGAACTTCTGGGTTTCGGGTTAAAAGGATACCATTTACAATTGCACCAAAAAGTATGAAGTATCTAGGAACAGACCTAACAAAACTGGTACGAAAAGAGCTGTGGAGAAAATTAGAAAATCTTATTGACGTATTTTTAAAGGACCCAATTAAATAAAGCAATATTCCAAGCTTACAATTAAAAGGCTGAATATTATAAAGATGTCAGTTCTTCCCAGATTGACTTATGGTCAAACCAATAAAGCTTTAGCAGGTATTTTTTTTAAAGAAACTTAACAGCTTATTCTAAAATTTATAGGGAAGTGTGATTTATAACGATCCAAACAGGCAAGACACTGTTTAAGAATAAGCTAAGAAGCTTTCCTTTCCTAGATATCAAGATTTATTTGTTAAAAACTATAGTAGTTATGAAGTACAGACTGACACAGAGATATTCAAATAGCTCAACAGAAGAGAGCAGAAAGGACAACCAATTCTTGGACAAAATCCTTGAATCATGGTAGAAAGCCTTTCTGCTTCAGCCCCTGGTAAGTTCGCAAGTACTTACTGAGCACGTATTTTGTGCTATGTACTACTACGGTGAATACAAAAGTACAAAATACTCTCACAGTCCATTTAAAATTTTGCTGAGACGATAAAGATCTGCACAAATGAAGCAACCAGAGGACAAGACCCAAACTAACAAATAATTGTGTGGTGTGGATACAAGTGTACACAAGGGTGGACATAATGGAGACATCAAAGTGATCTGGGTCCCCAGGGAAGTGTTCTTGGAGAAACAACATCAAAATAAGGAGGTAAAGCACAGCTAGGGCCTCAAAATGCAGAAGTCAAATGACTGTACTCAGAGAAATAGCACGAGACAAAGTAAGTAGAGAAGAGTGAGGACAAGAAATCACAGTTCAACTACAGAGGTAGCCAGAGACCCCATTATATACAGGAAGGACTGAGACCACCAGTTTAAAGAGTCAGGACTTCTTCTGATTAAAAAGAAGTCACTAAAATTCTTGAATAGGGAAGAAACATAAAGCTAGTTACGTTTATAAGGATTTACCAGAGGTATAAAATTGAGCTTTGAGGTTAGATTAGGGGGTGATGAAGGTATGCAGGTAGTAGGAAAGGAAGAAAAGAAAGGAACAAATGTAAAATACTCTTGTCAGGAATCAAAATCATAAACCATGACTGACATTTAAAAACATGTGAGATGGAGATTTTATTAAATTCGGGTTCTAGTTATCTAACAAAAAAAGTGTGAAGCACACTAAATATAAAGCAGTCTGCAAAGGAAATAAAAAATGCTGAAGAAGAGGGGCGCCTGGGTGGCTCAGTCGGTTAAGCGACTGCCTTCGGCTCAGGTCATGATCCTGGAGTCCCGGGATCGAGTCCCGCATCGGGCTCCCTGCTCGGCGGGGAGTCTGCTTCTCCCTCTGCCCTCGTCCCTCTCGTGCTCTCTGTCTCTCATTCTCTCTCAAATAAATAAATAAATAAAATCTTTAAAAAAAAAATGCTGAAGAAGAGATTTAACTTTCTGGTTTGACCTACCAGTGTTTACTTTTGATGTTACATGAGTTACATCAATTTTCTGGGACCTGATGAGAGGCACAGCTTTTCCAGAAGAAGTGTGTGCTATATTCTTCCTTCGATCTTTTGCTTTACTTATCTTTGAAAGTGGTGCAAAAATACCTAAGGGAGGAATGGAGAGCTTGAGTTAGTGTGAAGCAATTAAAACCATTTCAAATAAAGGGGCAAGTACAACCATTTGGAAATATAAATCTTTAAGTTCTTTTAGTGCCTACCAGGTGTCCTGTAGGGAAAGACAGGAAAAAAGTGACATGCAGTATGTGCCCTCAGAGAGCTTACAATTTAGTTGTCAAGACGAACAACATACACAGTAATTGAAGAATCACATAAAAGAGGCATAATCATGTATTACGTGAAATTCAGGGAAAAGAGAAATGAGTGAAGGTAATAGTTTTCCATCATAGTAGTTTCTGACTAAACTATCGGCTATTGTAAATGTGTACAATCTTACTGGAAGACAAAAATTCTAACCCAAGCCACTTCGTGGCATTGAATTATAAGGAAATAGATTTGTGCACAAAAAGTTACAAAGTTACACTTGTATGGTATAAAGAAAAGATAGATTTCCAGAGCCAAAACAATTTCTAGTTTACTACTACTATGACCCAATTACACTTTTGGAAATTAATTATGAGAAAATAATCCAAATGGGAGGAAAAGATTGTATACCTGATATGTCATCATCGCAATATTATTCATGAGTAGGAGAAAACAAGTATGTGTCAACAGGATGAATGAATGAACTATACCCCTGAACTGTTACATCACCATCAATAAGTAAAACAATAAAAATTGTAAAGAAATACAGACAAGTATGAAAATTAAATCAAGAAAATAAAAATGAAACTATATATTTGATTACATTATGACTGTATCTGAGAAACATTTTATGTGTGGATATAAGAAATACTGTAAAAAACTGAAAACCAAAACACATTTATGAGAGCAGTCAGATTACTCTCAAATTGTCTTTCAAATTTGTCATTAATGCATTATAATGTTGTTTAATGAATGGCTTTTTTTTTTAAACAAAGATCTTTTTTGTAAAAGATTTTATTTATTTATTTAATTGACAGAGAGAGAGACAGCGAGAGATGGAACACAAGCAGGGGGAGTGGGAGAGGGAGAAGCAGGGACCCCTCCGAGCAGGGAGCCCAATGCGGGACTCGATCCCGGGACTCCAGGATCATGACCTGAGCCAAAGGCAGTCGCTTAACCAACTGAGCCACCCAGGCGCCCCTGAATGGCTTTTTCTTAATCTGAGGAAAGTTGCATGGTTTCTCTTTCAAGGTCTTAATAGAAAATTTCCACACAATATTATTCCACATAATATCTTTTTTTTTTTTTAAAGATTTTATTTATCTATGTGACAGAGAGAAACACAGCGAGAGAGGGAACACAAGCAGGGTCCACATAATATCTTAAACAGTAAATATTTAATTCTATGGCTTTAAAAGATTTCCATAGCATATAAAACCCCACCTAATATAAGTTCTTATTCTTCCTGTTTTTTTTAATGAAATAAATCATTTGGGAGAACCGAAACTAAATTTAGAGCGAAGACTGGCTACAACCAAAGCCCAAAGTGCACGCAGAATATGGGCTAAAGTTCCTAGTAAGTAACTCGTGCTCATCAAAGTACCAATGGGACTTTTCTCAGATCTTGACATACAATTAATCATAAAGCTTAACTAAAATAAACACATAGGGAAGAATGATTTTTAAATAGAAGAATAACAAATTTCTAGAACAAATTTCTGGCCCATTTTACCACAACTCCTCCCAAAACGGCACCGAAATATTAGAAAGGAATAAAAACGATATAAACTCTAAAGAAAAAAGAAAATGATAAAAAGGAGGAAACAAATACTAAAAGCTGCCAGAGAGGGGGAAAAGGTCAAACACGGAAGAAAGATTTTGCAACTCGTACACAGCAACACTGGAAGCTCAAGACAGTAGCTGACAAACCAGCGCCCGGGAGGCCACATCCTGCCCACCACCTCTTCTGTCAAGTCCCACTAGCACCCCTGTGCTTACACAGTCTGCAGCTGCTTCTACACTACAACAGGACAGCTGAATGGCTGAACGAGAGACTGTGCGGCCCTTGACGCCTAAAATATCTCCTCTGGCCTTCTACAGGAAAAGTTAGCCAAACTCCATCACATAATAGAGTATCACCTTCTAGATAGCAGGAAGGGAGAAATGAAGGGGGGGAAATCGGAGGGAGAGATGAACCATGGAGACTATGGACTCCGAGAAACAAACTGAGGGTTCTAGAGGGGAGGGGGGTGGGGGGATGGGTTAGCCTGGTGATGGGTATTGAGGAGGGCACGTTCTGCATGGAGCACTGGGTGTTATGCACAAACAATGAATCATGGAACACTTCATCTAAAACTAATGATGCAATGTATGGTGATTAACATAACATAATAAAAAAATATATATCACCTTCTAAATACAGAGAAAATACGAGTTCCGGCCTAACATTCTTTATCCCATCAAACTATCATATGAAGTATGAGGGTAGAAATAAACATATTTTTAGAATGGAAGTTTTCAAAAAATTTATCTCCCATGAGTCCTTTGTCAAAAAGCTACTAGAGAAAAAAAAAAAGAAAAGAAACATGCCCTTATTTAGAGAGACCTCCATACCTAGGATTTCTTTTCCTTTGGTTATATGTTAACTAACATCCTTAGGAGGGATTATTAGAATATACCTTCCAAATTAATACTTTTTGTAAGGCATGCCCATTTACTGGATAATGGAAAACTATTTTTTGTTCAGTGATTTTTGTTTTCAGCCTAAAAGAAATGGTGGAAAACAAATCATTATTTTTGTTAACATTAAATTGTTGGGAATTAAAAAAAAAAAAAAGCTACTAGAGGATGTGCTCCACCAAAACAAAGAAGTAAACCAAGAAAAGAACTGACTTAGAATGAAGGCGCCCAATCTTTCTCCTTATAGTATGAACTGAACTCAACAGAAGTCTAAAACTGGAAAAATCAGGGACGCCTGGCTGGCTCAGTCAGTGGAGCGTGTGACTCTTGATCTCCGGGTCATGAGTTCAAGCCCCAAGTCGGTTGTAGAGATTACTTAAAAATAAAATCTTTTAGGGGCACCTGGGTGGCTCAGTCTGTTAAGTGTCTGCCTTCGGCTCAGGTCATGATCTCAGGGTCCTGGGATTGAGCCCCACATTGGGCTCCCTGCTCTGCTTCTCCCTCTGTCCCCCTGCTCCTCCCCCCAACTTGTGCATACCTCTCAAGTAAATAAATATTTTTTAAAAAACCCTTTATTTTAAAAAAATAAAATCTTGAAAACAATAAAAATAAAATTGGAAAAATCAAGGGAGACTCATATACATGTATTATTTACAAATACAAATATTAATATCAGAAGATACAACTAAAGATGTTAAAATAGTTCTTGCCTCTAAAGGACAGGACTCAGGGTCAGGGAAGGGCAAGCCAGGGAAGGAGTTAACTGATGTTTTTAATAAACCTTATAATACAATTTGACTTATGTATTCACTTTGGTAATTATTAAAAGACATAAAAATGGTATTACCAAGTATTAAAATTTATTATAAAAATTTTCATAATCGCTAAAACTTAGAAGCAACCAAGATATATATCCTTTAGTAGATGAATGGGTAAATAAATTGTAGTACATCCAGACAATGGAATATTATTCAGGGCTAAAAAGACATGAGCTATCAAGCCATGAAAACACATGGAGGAAACTTAAATGCAAATTACACAGTGAAAGAAGCCACTCTGAAGAGGCCGGGTTCGTACTGTAGAATTCCAACGATACGACATTCTGGAAAAGATAAAACTAAGAAGACAGTAAAAAGATCAGTGGCTGCTAGGAGTTGAGCAGGGAAGGGAGGAATAGGCAGAGCACAGAGGGTTCTCAGGGCAGTGACAATCCTCCATATAGACACTGTAATGATAGAGACATGTCATTAAACACTTGTCCAAACTCACAGAACATCCACCACCAAGAGTGAACCCCAATGTAAACTATGGACTCAATGCTGATGACGAGTCATCAGTGTAGGTTCCTCTATGTTAAGAAATGTACCCTCTGGTGAAGGGACACTGATAATGGGAGTGGCCCTGCACACATGGGAACAGGGGATACACAGGAAATCTCTGTACCTTCCTCTCAATTTTGTTTTGAACCCAAGCTGCTCTAAAAAAAAGTCTTAAAAATTATTATAAAATTTCTACAATTGAAAAAATCTAATCTGTGTGAGAATTAACAGATCAGTTGAACAAAATAATCCTGAAACAGACGATAGCATTTATAAGAATTTATAATAAAGGAAGCACAACAAGCCAAAGGAAAAATGATAGAGGCGGGAAAAAAAAAATCTGTTGCTGAGAAGAGACAAATTCTTTGGCTTCTGCTTAGTCAGGGCAACTCCCATTTTTCCATAATCCAACACATGATCCTTGCCCCCCAAAACTCGCCTTTAAGCATGTGAAAGGGACAGAAGCAGGGTCCTTGGTGTATCTGGCTTTGTCCTCATCAAGCATGCCTCTCCTTGGGATGATGAGATTTGGGGGGCAAGATGCATTCTGTTACAAGCTAAGCCTTTCCCGTGACTCCGATTGACATCAACCCTGTGTGTTGCTAGGAGTTTTGATCCTTTTGCCCTCAGTCGGCTTCACAGCTGCCACAATTAGCTAACAGAGGAAAACTAAAATCAAATTCTTAATTCCGCAGAACTACCCAAATATATTCCAAATGGGTTAAATAATAAAGGGCAAAAAATTAAAACATTCAAAAGAATAAAATATATCGTTTTAAATTAATCCTTGGATTAGAAAGAACTATCTAAACATAAAAGCAATGTTAAGAAATTATAAAGAAAAAGTCTCTTAACTACATAAAACTCTATGCCAAAACACTGCAAATGAAGTTCAAAGGCAAATGACAAACTGGGCAAAATATCTATGATAACTATAAAAGTTTAATATCTTAAATACATATTTGTATTTCTAAAGTTTTTTAAAACCCACTAATCCCTCAATTATTTAATGAGCATGTAATATGAACAATTATTTCTTGGCAATTGCTAATATATATATTACAACAAAATATTTTAAGTGTTTTATTTCACCACAATCAGAGAAATATGAATTCAAACAGAAATTTTTACCCGTTAAATTGGAAAAATTAAAGGAAATGGAGCCATTAAAAATCACATTTTCAAACGATATTTAATGATTTGGGGAATTATAATAGCATATCAAGCAAAAATGCAAAATATGTAACTATATATAATCCAAATTTTTCAAAAAGAATTAAACAGAAGAAATATACCAGTGATTTTATTTTCTTCTTTTAACCTTCTTTGTTTTTCAAATTTTATACAATACTTTTATAAACAAAAAAATTAATAAACAAAAAAATGATGCTCCATTTTAAGTGTATGACAAAAGGAAACTGATAATTTTGATAAATTTATAACAGCTAGCAAATAGCTACCATTAGTTGAGTACTTATAGGGAATCAAGCACTATTCAAGGTGCTTTATACATTTATCAACACATTTAATCCTCATACGAACTCTTGAGGTATTGTTAGCCCCATTTTATAGAAGACAAACTGAGGCACAAGAAGAGAATTAAGGTCACATAACTGGTAGGTAGAGAAGCTGATTCACACCCAAGCTGTCAGACTCCAAGCAAGGACTTCAGCATTAGACCAGAGTATCTCTCTGTGCAGCTATAATTGAAACACGTGCAACCAGGGAAATTAATGTTCTAGAAGAATATTTCATGGCAAGGAAAAATATTCACAACATAGCAAGTGACAAATTTAGTTCAATATGTCAAGGAGTCTGTATGTATGTATGTGTATGAGAGAGAAAGAATATGAATTTAAACAAACATCTGTCAGAAAGAGAAAGAATCATCCCACCTCAGGAATACAGTTTTAAAGTTTGCTTCACTTGCTTTTCCAAGTTTTCAAGTTTTTCAACCCCCGGAGTTCTGTATTTCCTTGATAACAAAGTCCCTCCCTCAGTCATGATAGCACCCTAAGCAGGACTTACAGGAGGTCCACGGAGCTGGAAGTACTCCTGGTGGGACACCATCTTCCCATCACTACACTGCTCATAGCAGGAAAAGGGCAGTCCCTTCATTAACTACATAGATAACCAGGAGGAAAGGTTTCTTCCCCCCCCCCCGCCTAACCAGGTTTATTTAAAAACAATAGAAGAGTAGGGATGCCTGGGTGGCCCAGTTGGTTAAGCTTGGTTAAGCATCCAACTCTTGATTTCAGCTCAGGTCATGATCTCAGGGTCATGAGGTCAAGCTCCACACTGGGCTCCGTACTCGCGAGGAGTCTGCTTGGGATTCTCTCTCTCCTCTCCTTCCCCCCCCCCACCCGATCATGCTCTCTTTCTCCAAATAAATAAAATCTTTTTTAAAAATGATAAAAATAAAAATAAATAAATAAAAGTAAATTTGGTTATCTTAAACTAATTCTCATTAAGTTAGATAGTATCTACCTTACCGTATTTGGGCGCACATTTAAAGTACTGGGTTTTCCCAACACTTCCATTGTTTTTTCCTTCTGGTTCATCCAACTCAATGCCAGCCCACTGCCCAGTTGCAAATTCTGTTGTTCCGCAAAATCTTAATGTTCCAACCTAAAGAAAACATAAATCAGAATAAATTTTGAGGATTACTAGTAATTCTAAATGTGCTACTCTTGCAACTTTACCATGGAAGTTTTTAAAAACCATTCAATCAAAGTAGACTTTAGAACAGGAATATTACCAGGGATAAAAAGAGGTATTATATAATGATAAGAGTCAACCCCAAAAAGACGTAAGAATCCTAAATCTGTATGCACCTAACAACTGATTTTGGAAAATCTCCAAACATTTGGAAATTAATAAATATACTCCCAAATAACTCATAGTGAAAGAGAAAATCACAAAGAAATTTAAAAACATTTTGAATTGAGTGAAAATGATAACACGATATATAAAAATTTGTAGGATGCAGCAAAAGCAGTGTTTAGAAGGAAATGTATAGCATTAAACACTTGTATTAGGAAAGGTCTCAAATCAATGACCTAAACTTCCATTTTAAGAAACTAGAAAGTGAAGGCCCAAAGCAAGCAGGAGAGAAATAATAAAGATAAGAAATTATGGGGCACCTGAGTGGCTCAGTCGGTTAAGCATCTGCCTTGGCTCAGGTCATGATCCCGGGGTCCTGGGACTGAGCCCCACATCAGGCTCTCTGCTCAGCGGGGAGCCTGCTTCTCCTTCTCCCTCTATCCCCCCCCACCCAGCTCATGCTCACTCTCTTGCACACTCTCTCTCACTCTCTCAATCTCAAATAAATAAAATCTTTTTTAAAAAAAGAAATTAAGAACAGAAAAAGAATAGAGAAAATCAATGAAACCAAAAGCTGGTTCTTTGTAAGGATAAGTAAGATTAATAAACTTATAGCTAGGGACCAAGTAAACAAAAGAGAGAAGACACAAACTGCAAACATCATGAATGAAAGCAGGACATCTTTACATACCCTCAGTCATTTAAAAAATAATAAGAAAATACTCTGAACAACCCTGTGCCTGTAAATTTAACAAATGAGATAAAACGTTCCAATTCCTTGAAAGATGCAAACTGTCAAAGTTCACACCTGAATTGTAGTTAAGAAACTTCCAAAAAACAAAAACAACACAACAACAACAAACGCTTCAGAACCTTATGGACTCACTGGTGAATTCTAAAATTCTTTAAGAATTTAAAGGAAAAATAATAATCTCTACACAAACCTAGTATATAAAAGTGGAAGGATTAATTCTCAACCCATTCCCAGCATTACCTTGATACCAAAACCAGACACAAGGATCCTCAACAAAATAAGAGCAAATCAAATCCAGCAATATACAGGGGTGCCTGGGTGGCTCAGTTGTTAAGCATCTGCCTTCGGCTCAGGTCATGATCCCAGGGTCCTGGGACTGAGCCCCACATCAGGCTCCCTGTTCAGCAGGAAGCCGGCTTCTCCCTCTCCCACTCCCCCTGCTTGTGTTCCCTCTCTCACTGTCTCTCTGTCAAATAAATAAAATCTTTAAAAAAAAAAAAATCCAGCAATATACAGACTCCAACAATATATAGCAAATCAAATCCAGCATTATGACCAGGTAAGGTTTATCATGAGAAAGCAAGGCTAGTTCAACATTTGAGAATTAATCAATATAATTTATCATATCATCCACATACTAAAGGGGGTGGAAAAAACTTACTCTCTCAACATATGCAGAAAAAGCCTTTAGCAAATCAAATTTCAATATCCTCTCATGATAATAATTAAAAAAAAAAAAAAAGAAACCTCTCAGCAAACCAGGATTAGACAGGAAATTCCAGAACTTAATAAATTAAGATACCCATAAAATCTACAGCTAACAATTATCATACTTAATGATGAAAGGCTAAGTGCTTTCTCCTTAATATTGGGAGCAGGACAAGTTTATCAACTCTTACTACTTCTACTCATCATTATACTGGAGGTCCTAGGCAATGAAATTAGGCAAGAAAAACAAATGAAAGGCATACAGATTGGAAAGAAATAAAACTGTCTCTATTCACAGACAACATGATCGTTTACATATGATATCCCCCCCACACACAAAAAAGCCAATAGAATTAATAAATTTAGCAAGGTTACAGGATATATGGTCAACATACAAAAATCAACTGTATTTCTCCATGAAATTTCCAAAACACAACCATTTACAATAGCACCAAAGATCATGAAAAACTTAGGTATAAATCTAGCAAAGTATAGCAATATCTAAGATATGCTTAAAACTATGATTGGCAAGGAACAAATCAAACTTTCATTATTTGCAGACAACACATACTCTATGTAAAAAACCCAAAAGACTCCACCAAAAAATTGCTAAAATTCATACATGAATTCAGCAAAGTTGCAGGATACAAAATCAATGTGCAGAAATCTGTTGCATTTCTATACACAAGTAACGAAGCAGCGGAAAAAGAAATCAAGGAATTGATCCCGTTTGTAACTGCACCAAAAACAGTAAGATACCTAGCAATAAATCTAACTAAAGAAGTAAAAGATCTGTACTCTGAAAACTATAGAATAGTTATGAAAGAAATTGAAGAGGACACAAAGAAATGGAAAAGCATTCCACGCTCATGGATTATAAGAATATTGTTAAAATGTCTATACTACCCAAAGCCATCTACACATTTAATGCAATCCCTACCAAAATACCACCAGCATTTTTCACAGAGCTAGAACAAACAATCCTAAAATTGGTACAGAACCACAAAAGACCCCAAATAGCCAAAGCAATTCTGAAAAAGAAAAACAAAACTGGAGGAATCACAATCCCAGATTTCAAGTGACATTACAAAGCTGTAGTCATCAAGACGGTATGGTACTGGCATAAAAACACACACACAGGTCAATGGAACAGAATAGAGAACCCAGAAAAGGACCCACAACTCTATGGTCAACTAATCTTCGGCAAAGCAGGAAAGACTATCCCATGGAAAAAAGACAGTCTCTTCAACAAATGGTGCTGGGGAAAATGGACAGCAACATGCAAAAGAATGAAACTAGACCACGTTCTTACACCATACACAAAAATAAATTCAAAATGGATAAAAAACCTTAACATGAGACAGGAAACCATCAAAATTCTAGAGAACACAAGCAGAAACATCTCTGACCTCGGCCATAGCAACTTCTTACTAGACACATCACCACAGGCAAGGGAAACAAAAGCAAAAATGAACAAACAGGACTTCAAGATAAAAAGTTTCTGCACAGCAAAGGAAACAATCAACAAAACTAAAAGGCAACCTTCAGAATGGAAGAAGATATTTGCAAATGACATATCTGATAAAGGGCTAGTATCCAAAATCTATAAAGAACTTACCAAACTCAACACCCAAAAAATAAATAACCCAGTTAAGAAATGGGCAGAAGACATAAATAGATATTTTCCAAAGAAGACATCAAGATGGCCAACAGACACATGAAAAGATGTTCAACATCACTCACCATCAGGGAAAGACAAATCAAAACCATGATGAGATACCACCTCACACCTGTCAGAATGGCTAGAAAAACACCACAAGAAACAACAGGTGTTGTTGATGAGGATGGGGAGAAAGGGGATCTCTCTTGCACAGTTGGTGGGAATGCAAACTGGCGCAGCCACTCTGGAGAACAGTATGGAGGTTCCTCAAAAAGTTAAAAATAGACCTACCCTATGATCCAGCCATTGTACTACTGAGTATTTACCTAAAGATACAAAAAATACTGATTCAAAGGGGCACCTGCACCCCAATGTTTATAGCAGCAATGTCCACAATAGCCAAACTATGGAGAGAGCCCAAATGTCCATCGACTGATGAATGGATAAAGAAAATGTGAGGTATATATATGGAATATTACCCAGCCCTCAAAAAAATGAAATCTTGCCATTTGCAATGATGTGGATGGAGCCAGAGTGTATTATGTTAAGTGAAATACATCAGAGAAAGACAAATACCATATGATCTCATTCATGTGGAATTTAAGAAAGAAAACAGAAGAACATATGGGAAGGGGGAGAAGAAAAAGAAGGAAACAAGTCATGAGAAACTCTTAATGATAGAGAATAAACTGAGGGCTGATGGAGGGAGGTGGGTGGGGGATGGGCTAGATGGGGGATGGGTATTAAGGAGGGCACTTGTTATGATGACCTCTGGGTGTTGTACCTAAGTGAGAATCACTGAATTCTACTTTAGAAAACAATATTGCACTGTATGTTAACTACCTAAAATTTAAATAAACAAATGCTTAAAACTACAAAACTGATGAAAAATAAAAAGCCTATTAAATAGAGATATGTTGCACTTGTGGGTTTTTTTATTTTATTTATTTATTTTAGAGAAAGAGAGTGAGCACGAGCAGGGAGAGGGGAAGAGGGAGAGGAAGAGAATCTCAAGCAGACTCCATGCTGATCACAGAGCCCAACACAGGGCTCAATCCCATGACCCTGAGATCATGACCCAAGCCGAAATCAAGAGTCAGCTACTTAACCAACTGAGCCACGCAGGCACCCCTATCATGCTTGGGTTTTAAAGACTCCATATCTTTAAGATATCTGTTCTCCTCAACTGATCTATGTCAACACGACTTCATTCAAAATCCCAGCAGGATTTTTTGTATGACTTGAAATCCATAAGCTGATTCTACAATGTACATGGAAAGACAAAGAAACTAAAAAAAAAAAAAAAAAAAATTGAAGGCCTAACAACAGCTGATTGCAAGACTTACTATAAAGGTAGAGCAATCATTACAGAGTAGTACTGAAGAAAGGGTAATCATCGAATCAATGGAGTAGAATAAAATCCAAAAATACACCCATACACCTAAGGTCAGATGACAAAGGGGCAAGGGCGATTTAAGAAAGAAAGAACAGTCTATTCAAAATATGGTGCTGAAACAAATAGGTAATCAGATGCAAAAAAAAGAGAGAGAGAAAGAAACTCTATCTATTATATCTATATCTAAACTCTATCTACCTAGTATTCTGTACAAAAGTAACTCAAAATTAAATATAAAACTAAATGTAAAACCTAAAACTATAAACTTCTGAGAGAAAGTCCATGTACTATATCTTCCACTCTCCTATGACACCGCAGAAAATTTCTTAGCTATGCTAAACACACAATCCATACAAGAAAAAGTTGAAAAATGAACTTCATCAAAATTTCAAACTTCTACTCTCTGAAAGACATTCCTAAGAGGATGAAAAGGCAAGCAACAGAGTGAAAGAAAGGATAACGGAAGCAAGATTGGCCATGAGACAATCAGGTTAAACCCAGCTGACGCACATTATATGCTTCTACTTTTGTATAGCTTCAAATTTTCCAAAATAAGAACAACAGAATAACTCTTCTAAACATCCATTCTCAGACATAGGAATACTGAAGAGGTTGAACACTAATCCCAAGTTAAAAAAAAAAAAAGCTAACAAATGTCCTATGAATATATTCTTTTGGAAGCTGGTAAAATGTCATTCTCAACATAATCATCTGTTTGGAGTTTACCTTCCTTTCTGGAGCAATTTTCTCAGTAAATCAAACTTCCAGATTTTGGCATTTTCTGCAAAACCCATGTCACCATCCCCACAAGCCCACCCATATATTTACACATAACTGTGTGAGGAAACAACGGAACTCCCTGTTCCATTCTCCATACCCAGCTCCCTATTTACCCAAAGTTAAAACAAAACAGACCTTCCCTATGAGGTATTAAAAAAGAGAGAATGGATGGCAACAAGACAGTGCCATAAGGACTCTGAGGCTTTGGAGAAAAAGAGGCATCTGGAGCATCTTCAATAGGCTGGGTTGGGGGGCGGGGGCAGGAGGGTCCTCTTTTCCACATACATTTTTATTATGAGGTTGAAATAATATCTAAGATTTCTCTATTTCTAGGATCTCAAGGCCAAACATCCATGAATGGCAAGAGTCTCCTTTGCTCCATTACTGCGAGGTAGTTGTAGTGGGAAAAACCCAGTGAGGGCGGCAGGGGGGCCACAAGGAAACCCCTCCAGGCTCAGCAATGTCTCAGCTCGGGCCTCCTAATGCACTCAGCAGCCCTATCGTACCCCACTCTCCCCCCCCCAACGGAGAGGCCTTCATTATTCCGTCCAAGGGTAAGCGTGCCTCTCAGTTTCACCATTTCCATTAAGTCTGTTTCTATGTACACACCGCACTTTTTAAAAACACTCAAAACCCCGTCCACAGTGTATGGCTGCAGCCGGCACACGGGCCATGCACACTGCAGACCTTGGACCCAGCTTCAGAGACGGCCGTTACTTCCTTACCTTCTGTCCTGCAATAACGACGCGATCCCCCAACTTCAGACCGAGGGACGTGAGCATCGCCTTGCTAGTGACGCGGTCACAGTTTGGAAGCAGGGGCTTTGACATGTCACGCGACAGGGGCGCCGCATCCAACAACATCTGCTTGATTTCTTTAGCAGTTGCAGCAGCATCGGCCATCTCCAGAGGCATTTCCACTGGGTCCGGAACGACATCAGCAGGGATCTGCCCTTTGTCATTCTGCAAATGCAGAGAAGAGAACATTTTCAATCCATATCACTCACAGCTCTACAAGGTCATACGCAATTCTTTTTAAAAATAAAGGTGGAAAAAAATTAAGTTCAATTCATTCATCGTGTATTTGTCAAGCTGTTTACCTGAACACCTACTACATGCCATTCTAAATGCTACTGACACCACAGTGAAGAGAAAAACCCTGCCCTCCGCAAGCACACCTTCTGGTGCGAGAGACAGACCACACACAAACAAGTAAAAGAGATGGTATGTTAAATGGTAAAAAGGGGCAGAAGGAAAAACAGTTCCAGACAGGGAAGGGGAGAAGACCTGAAGGGTGGCGTCTATGCAGGCAGGGAGGCCGGGGAAGGACTCACAGGCCAGAGGAGATGTGGGAGCACCATGCAGGCGAGCTGGTCGGGGAAGCGCGAGCGCTGAGCTCATGAGTGGACAGAAAGCCTGGCCACACAGGTCTAGAGACAGAAGTCACAGCACTGACTGGCCTCCCAACCCCAGATCCGAGATTCTGCCACCTCGGCCGTGTGACCTGATCCATCCTGCCCACTCATGGAGTGATTTAGTTAGTTATTTGAAGGGGGAGGGGCAAAGGGAGAGGGAAAGGGAGAGAATCTCAAGCAGACTCCATGCCCAGCACGGAGCCCAACATGAGACTCCATCCCAAGACCCCAAGATCATGACCTGAACCGAAACCAAGAGTTGGACACTTAACTGACTGAGCCACCCAGGCGCCCCATTATTGAGTGACTTTTGTCTTGTATCTACATTCATGCTGCCACTGGGTAGAGCAGACTCTTGTCATTTCTTAATGACTTAAGTAAGCCTGGCTGCCTGCCTCAGATCCCTGTCCTCAAATGCATCCTCCTCCACTGCATGGCCGTAGTGACCTTTCTACGCCCTTTAGGCCAGTGCCCTGTTCCCACCATTGGTGGCTTCATGCTGACTGTAGGTTACCATCTAAACAACTTATCAGGTCAGGCAAAACCTTAATTTGTTTCCAGTGTAGGTCGATTTTTTCATATTATCTGCCAGGCACTGGGCCAGGTCCTGTGATAGCAGTGTTCTGCTCTGATGGGGCTTACATTCCAGTGTGGATGACCCAAATGGAGCACAGACTTGAGAATCTGGTGAGTGTTTGAAAGAGTGCGGATTTCAGGAATAGAAACTACAGTTTCAATACTTCAACACTTCTCAAATGTGCGCTATAATCAAGAAAACAGCTCTGGCCTCACTATAAAGGAGAGACTGCATCCTTGGATTTAATCCTGCAACAAGATAAAATGGTCAGTTGTAAACCCACTAACGTTTGTATGGTGTTTGTATAACCAAATCCGATCACGTAAATTATCTCATTTGATTCGCACATCAAGAAAAAGCTTATGAATAAAACAGATAAAAATCCATGCCAAGAGTATATACTGTAGTATAAGAGACAATAACCAACTAAACCAGTAAAATATTACTATCGTTTCTGGTTTACCAATTAGGGAAATTCAGTAAGGAAAGGTTAATGACTCCTTCAAAGTCATTTACAGGATTCCTGGCAGAAGGGACATCTGAAGCCATGTCTAGGACCCGCTACATTCAGCCTTTCTCCTACTTAGGGCTATCCTTCCTTCAAACACGGTATCTCTCTTCTATGTTCCCTAACCAAAAAAACTTAGATGTTATGAGAGAGTTTCCAGACTGTAATCTTCTTTGAATATAATGAATCGAGATTCTTTTGCTGAGAAAATTCTTTTCCTTGTCTTCTCTGCTGATAATGATCTTCAAACGCTCCATTTGGATGAAAGAATGAGGTTTTTAAAACACACTTAGTTTGTGAGTGCGTCACAGTTTTTATTTTAAAATTCACAATTTTATTTTAGAATGGTCCTAAGTAAAAACATGGCAGGGAGACATGTTATCAAATTTCTGGGATAGTGATGGGACTGTTTTAAAGAATTTCAGATTTCAAAGAAAATATACAAAATATAATAAAGGTATGTATAGCACTAATATGTACTCTTGATAAAAAGAGGGGGGATTTTTTTTTTTAAACCTTGTACTGGTAAGTTGTAAGCTATATTGACAAGGACTCTTTTTTTTTTTTATTTTATTATGTTATGTTAATTACCATCATTAGTTTTTGATGCAGTGTTCCATGATTCATTGTTTGCATATAACACTCAGTGCTCCATTCAATACATACCCTCCTTAATACCCATCACCCGGCTAACCCGACCCCCCACTCCCTCCCCTCTAGAACTCTCAGTTTGTTTCTCAGAGTCCATAGTCAAGGACTCTTTTACTTTAAATTTTTAAGTCCTCACCTTTCTAGAGTAAGTCACACACTTATGTTAATTCCTATAGAATGCGGCAACTAAAACTTCTGTTAAAATAATAATAATAACAGGGGCCCCTGGGTGGCTCAGTCCTTAAGAGTCTGCCTTCCACTCAGGTCACGATCTCAGGGTCCTGGGATCGAGCCCCACATTGAGCTCTCTGCTCAGCAGGGAGTCTGCTCCTCCCACTGCCCGGTGCTCTCCCTGCTTGTACTCACACTCTCGCTCTCCCTCTCTCTCCCTCTCTGACAAATAAGTAAATAAAATCTTAAAAAAAAATAGTCTCTCCACTGAGGAGGTTTTGTCAACAGTCATACTAGGAAAAGCAAAAACATATCACCTTCACATTCCAGCCAAATTGGGGGATCATCTCCAAGCCCTGGTGAATGCTACTCTCCTCTCTGCCTAAAAGGCTTTTCGCACCTCCTTTGTCTAACTGGTTAGTTCTTAACTATGTTTAAGTGCTCAGTGTCACCTTTGCCCTTGTCTGTGACCCATGGCACTCTGTGCCCACCCCCACATTGTAACCCACTGAATGCCAACACACTACAGCAAAATTACTTGTCCATCCTCCCCTCTAGACTATATTCTCTTTGGCGACAATGACTTTTATTTATTGTTTTCTCCCCGTGCCCAAGAAACAATAGGAAAGGAGGGAGGGGGAGACTGGGGAAGGGAAGAGGGGAGAAGGGTTAATTAACTAATGATGGGGTAAAATAGAAAGAAGAGTGGCAGAAAGAAGCAGGGAGGAGAGGGGAAACTAGAAAACGGGGAGGGGGAGAGGAAAAGGGGAAGGGAAGAGGCTTTTTCAAACACTGCCCTCCCCTGTCCCTTCAAAGGAAGGCCCAGACCCAATTAAGAATCCCTGCCAGAGCAAGTCACTGTTATTCATATTAAGGAAAAGAACAGTGAGAGCCACTCAGTAAAAACAGTAAAATACCAGGAGACTTGAAGATTATGAAATTCAATCCTATGTGTTAACTTTGTAAATTTACTAATTTACATAATTACCACGAAAAAATTCATTTTTCCTTTAATTTTTAAAGGTTTACTGCACTCCTAAACGTACATTTTAAAAAATGGACAGGGAAAGAAACAACAAATGTTGGAGAGGTTGTGGAGAAAGGGGAACACTCTTACACTGTTGGTGGGAATGCAAGTTGGTACAGCACTTTGGAAAACAGTGTGGAGGTGCCTCAAAAATTTAAAAATAGAGCCACTGTGTGACCCAGCAATTGCACTCCTGGGTATTTACCCCAAAGACACAGATGTAGTGGAAAGAAGGGCCATATGCACCCCAATGTTCATAGCAGCCATGTCCGCAATAGCCAAACTGTGGAAAGAGCCCAGATGTCCATTGACAGATGAATGGATAAAGAAGATGTGGTCCATATATACAATGGAATATTACTCAGCCATCAGAAAAGATGAATACCCAACTTTTACATTAACATGGATGGGACTGGAGGAGATTATGCTAAGTGAAATAAGTCAAGCAGAGAAAGTCAATTATCATATGGTTTCACTTATTTGTGGAACATAAGGAATAACATGGAGGACATTAGGAGAAGGAAGGGAAAAATGGGCGGGGGGAATTGGAGGGAGAGATGAACCATGAGAGACTATGGACCTGAGAAACAAACAGGGTTCTAGAGGGGAGGGGGGAGGGGGGATGGGTTAGCCTGGTGATGGGTATTAAGGAGGGCACGTACTGCATGGAGCACTGGGTGTTATATGAAAACAATGGATTGTGGATCACTACACCAAAAACTAATGGTACTGTATGGTGACTAACATAATATAATAAAATTAAAAACTACAAAAAAAAAAAAAAAAAGAAGGTAGTAGGAAGGGAAAATGAAGGGGGGGAAATCAGAGGGGGAGATGAACCATGAGAGACTATGGACTCTGAGAAACAAACTGAAGGTTCTAGAGGGGAGGGGGGTGGGGGGATGGGTTAGCCTGGTGATGGGTATTAAAGAGGGCACGTATTGAATGGAGCACTGGGTGTTACACGCAAACAATGAATCATGGAACACTACATCAAAAACTAATGATGTTAATGTATGGTGATTACATAACATAATTTTAAAAAAAATGAATAAAAAAAAATTTTTCTGAAAAAAAAAAAAAAGATCCTGTCACCTGCAAAAAAAAAAAAAAAAATTTCTGGAATAAAATTTCTTTCCAAAAGAATTTAAAATATGATTTAATATAGAAATATCACTTTAACATACACATTTTAATTTGATAGTTAACTTTTTATAAATATATCAAAAAACTAAATGAAAGACACTTAAACTCAAAGATGATGACACACTACAGAACATTTTACTTCACTGAATGAAAGGAAATTTTATAGAGATTATCAATATAAGGGGACTGAAATTCACTGCTATGCATTATATTTATTTGCGATAAAGCTGATCACCATTATTCTTTATATGCAGCACAAAAATATAAATTCCTTCCTCATGAGTTCCATAACAACATCCAGATTCAACTCTTTACTAGAAGATAATGTAGACATTTTAACTCTTTTATAATATTTTTCACTTTTAGTAACCTCTTACCCTAAATGCAGGATTTGCTCCATGCTCCAATAAGCATCTCACAGTACTTGCACACAAGTTATAAGCAGCAATATGCAGAGCTGTTCCAAAATTAAAGTCACTGCAAGTGGCATCTACATCTGCAATTAAACACCGCAAGTATATCAGCTAAGAATTTAAATTTAGCTATTATAATATAAAAGGAGACAGGTAGGCTTTTTTTTTTTCTGGCTGGGGGTGGGGAGGGAGAACTTTATTAAGCCATTTTGAGACTTAAACCCCAGCCACTAGAAGCACCATTTCACGATGGAACCAAATCTTCATACTACAATCTGGTTAACCAATTATTTTCTCAGTACCATAAAATTTCATTATAACATGGACAGGCATTATCATAGATTTTCCAACTATCACAAACTAAACTATATAAACTATATTTAAAAGAAATTAATGGCAATAATTATCATTTGTAAAAGTAATGATTTTAACACAATCTCTCATTAACCTCTTGCATATATGTCATACAGCTACGATGAGGGATTAGGTTTAGGTCAGGAACCAGCCCATGGGCAAACACAACCCACCATCCATTGGTGGGTAATGGTGTAAATACTTATTTACATATTCTCTATGGCTAGCTTCCTGCCATAAGTGCAATATCAAGTAGCTGCAGTGGTCCACGAAGCCTACAGTATTTCCTATCTGGTCCTTCACATAAAAAGTAGTAGGTAGAACAATGCAGAATTTTCAAACAGGGAATAAGTTAAAGACTAATTAAACATATAAATGCTTACAAATCATATTCATTCATAATACTTTAGTCAACAAATGAATTTGGACTTCATGGTAGGAAAAAAGAATCTTGTAATTCTAAGGACATTGTAATAACTTTCAATAAATCACCATGATGCTATACTTAGACACAAGAAATCTTCCAGATTTGGGAATCCCATTTTGCATGTCTTCTGTAACAAGGGTTTAATACATTTGGTTCTACTAATTCTACCTTAATCTAAACCACACCACCCCACGTCCTACCTACAATTGCAAACAACTATGACATGCTCAGGACAAACTTTCCTGAGTTATTAAAGACACTGTACTATCAAAAGAGGCTTTCTTCTTAACATCAATCAAAAATTAAAAGGTAAAAGTTAAAGATAAAATGGACGACTATACAAAGCAGAGTGAGAAACAGTTGGAAATTTAGCTACTGAATCTCTAAAACAAGTCTTCTATGAATGGGGAAAACACCGTACACCGCTCACCTTTAATTTAGGGTAATACTATTGCATTTGCTCTCATATTTTTCTCAATAGAAAATTGACCCACTGAGAGGACCAGAGAGAAAGTCAAAATACCAGCACTGTAATATAGACAGTCTGATATTCAATTTTAGGATATCACTATCAAAATAGAAAGGGGAAAAAAAAACACCTGAATTTGTATCCTTCTTTAATCAGAGAATTTCAGAACCAAATGCCATCTAAAATACTCTTTATGATTTCAATGCTTAGCACTGAAAGCTTTATTGTTCTATTTCTGGCTACTCAAGACAAAAGAATTATACAGCACATAGATTCAATTACACTTTATAAAATCCATGTTATACTGGGGAATTTGCAGAGATATAAAAACCCAGAGAACACCATTTTACTTTGTATCTCTGTACTAAGCCTTTTGTTTAATGACAGCAGTTAATCTTCAATAAAGAAATATTAAACTATTCCTGAAGAAAAAAATGGGATAAGAGGTCATATGGAACAAGATGGATTACAAGCAGAAATCTCTTTGAATTTTAATTTTTATGCCACTAATAAAGTGTTCAACTAATAACATCTCATGGTGATCTTATAGTACTTGCCTTTTGGTTTAGATGTCTTCAAAATCACTTTTATAAGCTCAGGGACATCAAAATAAGCAGCATAATGCAAAGCATTCATATTTGTCCAGCGACTCCGTAAACTAACATCTGCTCCCAGATCAATAAGCTGAGTTGCAAATTTTACAGCTGTATCAACATCACCTAAAGAAAGTTTTCTAAATTATTTTCCTTCAGTACAACCTGAAGTTCCAATGGATGTCTATCTACTAACTTATTTAAAAAGCCAAAGCAAATAGCATACTGAATCTACATATACACCTCAAAAATTTCACTTACAAGGAATTTGTTCTAAAAAAAACAATCCTACTCAGAGATATGGATAAACACTTAGTTGTAAAGATGTTCATCACAGCACTTTTTATTATGAATAAAATTTTGAAACTAAACTACTTTATAAATAAATAAACATAAACTATTTTATTCTAAAAGTACAATAATATGATATTGGTTAAATAAATCATAAGTCATCCACATACTAGGATACTATAAAGCCATTAAAAGCAATGCCCTAGACCAGTACTACTCAGTGTGTTCTGTGGACCACTACCAGCCCCAAACTCATTTCTCTGTCCTTTTGATAAGCCTTTTCTTTTTCCCAAAGCAATAATTTCTTCAGATATATATTAATTGAAATGTAATTTTATGCCTTTTGAAAAACTGGGCTTGTATTTTATGTCTTTATTTTATTTTTCTATTATAATTTCATTTGTTTGGTTTTTTTTTACAATCAGTCCATGATGGATTATAAGAAAAAAAAGTCCTTCACCATCAACAGCTTAAGAGGCATATATCAGACTACTGAAACGGAGAGATGTTCACAGTATACAGTTAAGTAACAGAGGCAGGTTTATACAATGGTAAAGCACAGAATGCCAATCTGGGAAAATATGCGTGTATGTTATGTATACAGGAATACTCCTTAGGTCTAAAGACTAGGGTCTGTGAGGATTGGGATGCTTGGAAAACAGCTTAGATTGTCTAACCTTGCTGTAAACTCTCAGGAATGTTCTAGGGTGCTATCAGTTACTCTCACCTAGTGAGAATGCAGCTAGGAAGCCTGCTCTAGAAAAGTTGGGAGGTATCAGGAGACTATAAAGACCCCCACCCCTGAGAAAAGGAGGGGGAAGGGAACAAGGTTTTCGGGAGGACCCAACTGAATGCTTGCCTGTTCAGGGGACATTATCATCATCAGCTAGGTGCCCTCCCAGGGACTCTGGTTGCATAACATAGCTTATACAAACACAAATACAGATGTCTTAAGCCACCAGCAGATTTGCCACACTTACCAATACCATGAGCTCCAGATTTGCAAGTGTAATGTAAAAGAGTCATATCTGTCAATCCATCTCTGTCATTCACATTGCAGCCTCTCTTAAGAATCTGAGGAAACCAAGGAAGATATGACAACATGATGACTGAAAACTGATTTCAAACCCACGCTGAGAACCAAGTTAGTCCATCCTATCAGAATTAGTTCTCAATAAAATGAGTAGCTAGAACTGGCTTCTCTTAAGGATAAATTTTAAATTCTGCATCCAATAGCAATAATGAAAATAATTTGTCACCAGACTGAAGGAAATTCTTAAAGACTATTCCAAGGTAATCTGGCACTCCAAATATGTCTCTTAGCCTCTCAAAGGATAAGCAGAATTTTCTTTCTAATCGTTATAATGGTATTTGAAAAACTATATAAGCTCTCTCTTCTTAACCACATGACGATATGCAGGTCAAAAAACCCAGTTATTCTTTCTTCCCTCCTTCAAAAAATCAAATACTTTTGAAAACTATATTTAAGCCTACATCTTTACCAGACCACCCCAAAGTATGGATAAAACATGTTGGTAATCAAATTTCCTCATGAAATGTATTTTTTAAAGTCTACAAAATTAATGTGTACAAAGAAAGGAAGTATGGAAAATGCCACTGTCACCGAGTCTCTAACATCAGAACTCCAGGCATAAGCAAGTGAGGAGCATGAGGGAACAATGGAAAGAATGTACAATACTAACTCAGCTGCCCCACGCAAAGCCTGGAGATACAAAGAACAAACACCAGAATCTTTAAAAGGTTTTTCATTTATCACCACCTTTCCATTCAGATGGTGGGGTTTGCTGTGGGGGGGGGGGGGGGGCATCTATACAATTAACAATCCTAACAATGCAAAATGTAAAATGGAAGAATTCCTTACCTCATTTCCAATAATGTCAATGTTTTGCTGGACCTGAGGAACCCACTGTCTTAAAATGGCAAATAATTCTGATACAGAAGTTTTAGGATCAAAGAGAATTTCCTGGCATGATGTATCATTAGGATCAAAGAAAGAAAACTCTGTTTGAAATTAAAAAAAAAAAAAAAGTGTAAATTAAACTTATTAAAAGTGCCAAATAAATATATTGAAAATAATAAACAATAAGACCAGGGCTCAAATGATACAGATATTTTTAGATGCTAGGAGAAGTAGGTTTACATTAAACAATTTTCATAGCCCAAGTCAAGAGAGCCAAAAAGTATGCAGCATTCCTGAATTGTTGTGGGAACAAGGTTTCTGTGCATCATACCACATTTTATTACAGACAGAACAAAAAATGTGAGGGCACCCATCTCAAACCTTGAACTTTCCAACAACTACTTCTAAGGCACAGAAAATCTATCAAATTTTATCAATATTTTCAGCTCTCACAGCATAAATATATCATGAACAGCAGATTCACATCTATAATTAAAACACACATAAAAGGGGGAAAATGCCAAAATATCAACTGGTGTGCAATTTTATATATTCTTTTTACTTCTCTGTATTTACCTAATTTTCTGTAAGAGACAGGCATTACTCTCTACCCGCTGAAGAGGCATGAAAACTGCCACGCCAACGATAAGGGACCAATATCTGGCGATGCAGAAGTGAAACCTTGTACCAGAGTGACTGGGTGATTTGGGAATATGTATTAGTAAAAACATGGAATACTAGCAAAATTGAACATGATCTAAATATCTCTTAAAATTTCTCTAAGATTCATGGAAAACTTTGGTCAGCCTATGGCTAGAGAAGAGAATGGAAGAAAATCAGATTCTACTATCTCAAACAATCCCACAAAAGGGGGGGGACAAAGAATAGAAAAAACCAGAAACATCTAAAGGAAAGCATTAGAGAATCAACATTTGCAGAGTACTTACAACTAACCAAACACCTTACAAGTCCTCACAAACACCCTACTTGGGGGTACTATTATTCTCATTTTGCAGGTAAAGAAACCAAAGCTCAGACTAAATAATACTTGCTCCAAGTCACACAGCTAGTAAGTAAGGCACATCTGGGGTAGAAAACCAGATCTGTATCCAAAGTCGATCTTCCTTCCTCTATTGTGCTGCCTCTGTAAAAGAATTCACTATTGAAGTCAGCTTTTAACAGCATACACGAGTAGCAGGATTCATGGTTTTTTTAATGCCCTCTGCATTTTTATATATTTTCCAAAATTATACTATGTACACATAATTCATATTTTTAGAATCAGGATAACTAAAAGGTGAGTGGGAAAGCACAAAACCAAGGATGTGTATAAAAGGAGAGCAGCAGTCCATTCGGAGAGAATCAAAAAAACTAAAACTAGAATGAGATACTATCTAAAATCTTAGACAACAGAATGGCCCTCTAGGTTCAGAAAGGAAGACTCAGAAAAGAACTGGTATCCAACGGAGAGAAGCACCTTGCATGGTTTCTTGAACATAGATTTGGGTAAGTTTCCTATAGGTAGCAGTTGACTAGATAGGGTGGGGGTGTCTAACTGATTACCTATTCAATAAATATTTATGGATCAGTTCTTTTTTTAAGCATTGGGCATTGATAGTGGAGGAATTTCTAAATATATACCTAGAGACTCATCTGCATGGGTCCACAGGAGACATGTTCAAGAATTCTTATTCTAACATTAATTATAATGGCAAAACAGCTGGGCTGAAACATCTCTCCATAAAGAAGTGGACAGAATTGGCATATTCTATTTTTTCCTTTTTAACAACTAAAGAAATGAATTAGATATCTAAATCGTGAGTTGATAAGGCTAGGTCTCAAAAAACATACTGATTGATAAATTAAGCTGCAGAATAATATGCAATTTCTATCATTTACATAAAACTACAAATACACAAAACACTACTACATATTATTTAAGTATGCTCATTTATATAGTAAATATATGATAATATGGTCTGGAATATTCATACTAAATATCAGATAATGGTTGCCTCTGGAGAGCAAGGGGAATAGGACCAAAAGAAAACAGAAGGAATTTCAACTTTAAGGTTTTCTTGTAACCAAAAAACAAGAGCTAAAGGGAAAATGACAAAATGCTAATATTTATTCTTTCTGACAGTAGATATGTGTGATCATATATGTTTGCTACTACTATATTTTGTGCATTTTTATATGATTTCCTATTTTAAAAAAATGAAAAACAATGGGAAAAGCATCCAAAACACAGTATCAATAAAAGTAAGAAACATGCCAATGAATGTGTGAGGCTTATTTATAGAAAACTGGGGGGCACCTGGGTGGCTCAGATGGTTAAGCATCTGCCTTCGGCTCAGGTCATGATCCCAGGGTCCTGGAATCGAGCCCCACATCAGGCTCCCTGCTTGGCGGGGAGCCTGCTTCTCCCTCTCCCTCTACTGTTCTTGTGCTCTCTCACTCTCTCTATCAAATAAATAAATAAAATCTTAAGGAAAAAAAAGAAAGAAAGAAAACTGGAAGAGGAGAGTGACTTAAATGGAGTGAGATACATCATGTCGCAGAACTAAAAAATATCTAAAGCCGCCAATTTTACCAAAAACAATTATTTAAAATAATTTCAATTCTAATCAAAATCTCAACAGGATTTTTTTGTGAGAGGAGATACAGATTTACTCTATGGTTCATCAGTAGCAGAGCTTCTCAAACCTTAACGTAGATAGAAATCACCTAGGGATCTTGGTACAATGTTAATTCTGAGCCAGTAAATCTCAGGAGGGGCCTGGAACTGAGCTTCTTCTTCTTCTTCTTCTTCTTTTTTTTTTAAGATTTTATTTATTTGAGAGAGAGTAAGAGTGAAAGAGATCACAGAGGCAGAGGGAGAAGGAGAAGCAGGCTCCATGCTGAGCAAGGAGTCCAATGTGGGGCTTGATCCCAGGACCCTGAAATCATGACCTGAGCCAAAGTCAGACACTTAACTGACTGAGCCACCCAGGAGCCCTGGAATTGCGTTTCTAACAGGCTCCCAGTGATGCCAATGCTACCAGACTAAGGATCACACTTTGAGTAGCAAAGATCTAGAAAGTAAATATAAGATAAATAAGCAAGAACACTTGAACTAAAAAAAAACAACAATGATCTGTGTAGGGAGAGGGGGCAGTAGCCCAATAAATAATAAAGCATATAACAAGGCTTCCGTAATTATATACTGAGGTGATGGCAAACAGCAAACAGCTCATTTAAATAATAATGACAATATGTTACACTTACTAAGTACTTAATAGATACCAGGGACTGTTCCATGCACTTTATTGCCTAGTTTAATCCTCATAATGACCATATGAGGTAGGTACTATTATTGTTCTCATTTTATCATAGAGGAAATAGAGGGAACAGAGAAGGGACAGAGAAAATAAATAATTTTCTTAAAATCATGCAACTGGTAAGTGGTTGAGTCAGGATTGAAAACCAGACTGATCTGTAATCTTAATCTCGATGCTATACTACATATTAACAAATCTAACTAAATCCAAAGTTTAAGCTTCTATACAGGGGGGGGAAAAAAGCTTTAATCAAAAGAAAGCAGGGGGGGTTGGGGAGGAACTGTCCCACTTCATGTCAGGATGGAGTAATGAGGACCAGATTTGCCCCTCCACCTGAAACAAAAAGAACAAAGAAAATAGATGAAATGCAGTTTTCAAGGACACTGAACATCAAGGCAATGAAAGACAGTGATCATAACAGGATACAAATAAGGTGAGTCTTACAATTGCCTCAGATATCTGCCTTGACAGTTTCCAGGTCTCAGTGCAGAGAGAGGGAAACCAAGAGAAGCACAGACGACTCCCTGAGTTGAGGAGACAACACTGAGAGCCAAGGAAATCCAGGGAGCTAGAGTTCACAGGAAAGAGTATCAGAGAGGAGAGAGATAACCACAGCAAGAGAATCCCAAAGATCTATGAAGGGTCTTCTTATTTTATATATGCTTGTGAGGAAAACTTGAGGTAAGAGAAAGAACCATCGTAAAGGATTAAAAAGATTAGAGCCCAGTGCTCGTAAAGGGCCTAAAATAGTACCTGTTCAGATGAATGGATAAAGAAGATGTGGCATGCATACACATACACACATACACACACACACACACACACACACAATATGGACTATTACTCAGCCGTGAAAAAGAATGAAATCTTGCCATTTGCAATGACGTGGATGGAACTAGATGGTATTATGCTAAGTGAATTAAGTCATATCATATGACTTCACTCATATGTACAATTTAATAAACAAAATAGATGAACATAGGGGAAGGGAAGGAAAAACAAGACAAAAACAGAGAGGGAGGGGCGCCTGGGTGGCTCAGTCATTAAGCATCTGCCTTCAGCTCAGGTCATGATCCTAGTGTCCTGGGATCGAGCCCCGCATGAGGCTCCCTGCGGAGACTGCTTCTCCCTCTCCACTCCCCCTGCCTGTGTTCCCTCTCTCGCTGTGTCTTTCTCTGTCAAATAAGTAAATAAAATCTTTAAAAAAAAAAAAAAAAACAGAGAGGGAGACAAACCGTAAGAGAGACTCTTTACTATAGGAAACAAACTGAGGGTTGCTGGAGGGGAGATGAGTGGGAGGATGGGGTTACTGGGTGATGGGCTTTAAGGAGGGCACCTAATGGAATGAACAATGGGTGTTATATGTAAGTGATGAATCACTAAATTCTACCTCTGAAACTAATAATACACTATATGTTAACTAAATTGAATTTAAATTAAAAATAAATAAATAAAATAAAAAAGAAATAAAATAGTGCCTGTTCCCACCAAAAAGACTAGGAAAAAAATTCACAGGGCACTGGGTAGAATACTGAATAGTAAGGAATAATTAGCCCCAGATTAGCACTGCTCCAGAACCACCTAATAAATAATAAAACAAGACCTGAAAGGGCCAAACTATTTCCAAGGAACTTAACTGCATCCCATAACAAAATTCAAGAATACTTACAGGAATAGAAAAATATCCAGCACCCAACAGGTAAATTCACGATGTCTGGCATCCAATCACAGATTGCCAGGAATGCAAAGAAAGGGGAAAACATGACCCATAATCAGGGATAATCAACTGAAACAGACCTAGAGTTGACATAAAATTATAATTAACAGAAAAGAACATTAAAACAGCCATTATAACTGTATTTCAAATGTTCAAAAGGTTAAGTAGAGACATGGATGATATGAAAAAGACCCAAATTGAACTTGAGAGATGAAAACAATAGCTGCAATGAAAACTACATTGGATGAGATCATCAGCTGATCAGACATCGCAGATGAAAAGATTAATGATCTTGAAGACACAGCTACAGAAACTATCCAAGATAAAACACAAAAGAATTTTTTAAATATGAAGAAAGCATCAGCGAGCTGTGGGACAACTTCTAGGAACTGGAGTGTCTGAAAGGGCCAAGGGGCAGAAAAAAATATTTGAAGATATAATGATCTCCCAAACTCGATGAAAACTGAAACCAACAGGTCCAAGAAGCTTCACAGACCCCACGCAGAAGAATATAAAGAAAATTACACCAAGACACATCATAGGAAAATTGCTCAAAACCAATGATAAAGAGAAAATCTTAAAAGCAGCCGAGGTGGGAGGCGGGGGGAGAGGCATTACATTCAGGGAAACAATCACAGCACTTTTCCTATCAGAAACAATGCAAGTAAAAAGACAATGGAGCAATATCTTTAAGCACTGAAAGAAAAAAACTGTTAACCTAGAATTCTATACTCAGCAAACCTATTTCTCAAAAGAGAAGGCAACATAAAGATGTTCCTAGACATCTAAAAGTTGCAGGCATTCCTCACCAGCAGATCTGTACCACATGAAATGTTCAAGGAAGCCCTTCGGGCAGAAGGAAAATGGTATTGACTGGACATCCAGACCTGCACAACAGAATAAAGAACACTGGAAATGGTAACTACTTGGGCAAATAAGATATGTTACTATTACTTAAATCCCTTTAAGAGGTAACTCATTCTTTAAGGAAAAATAATAATGCATCGTGGGGTTTATAACATATGTGATATGCATTCTGTGTACACTGGATTCCAAAAATCTTTATATTGCCTTGCAGGGTAACCACCTGGAGAATCAACACTGACCTGCATGTCTAAGCTCTGGTTTGTGCAGTTGGTTTTTCTTTGTTTCTTTTTTTAATCTCATTCTCAGTCTCACATTCAATGGCTCTCATTACACTCTGCATAAAATACAAATTCCTTACCAAGGCCTAAATGATCCCGCGTGATCTGCCCCCTGCCTTTCTCTCCAACAACCTCTCCTGTCATTCTGCCCCTCAACCACTTTGCTTCTCATCCACAATGGCCTTCCTTTAATTCTTAGGATGTACCAAAGTTTTGTCCCCAACTCTGTGTCTTTAACTTCCTATTCTTCTGCCTGGAATACTTCTCTCCAGGCTCTTCTTGTGACCAGCTTCTTCTGACTCCGGATGACCACCCCATCTACAATAAACACTCTGCCCCATTATCCTGTCACAGCACCCTGTTTCTTTTCTCCACAAAATTCATTATAATCTATAATATTTATGTTTTGTTTATTAATTTGTTTATTGTCTTTCCCCATTAGAATGTCTATCTCAGTCACTGTGCTATCCCCAGCAACTAGGACAGTATCTGGCACATAACAGGCCCTCAGTAAATAATAAATACAATTCAGGATGCCACTTTTCAAGGGGACACTGACTACACTGTACAAAGAAAGAAACAACTAGAATGAAAAGGGTCTAGAAATCCTGACACTGAGGGACTGATGAAGAAACCAGAAACATGTAGCCTAAGGAACTAGAGGCTAAATAAAAATATTCAAATTATCTCCAAATATTTGAAGGCTATCATATAAAGAAGTATGTTCCACACATCAAAAACTAGTATTGGTTGGCCAAAGTTTCAAGGAGACATATTTTGAGTCTATATACAAAAATAACTTTATCACAACTAAAACTTTTTAACCATGAAATGGACTGTTCCACTAGTTTCCCACTACTGAAGTTATCCAAATGGCTGAGTGGTTATTCATCAGAGATCCTGAAAATAGAATTTCTATACTAAGAAGGGAGTAGGGAAAGTTGACCTACAGGTCCATTCAGATTCTAAGAATGTATAATTCTAAGCATATAGGCAGTGTTTAATTTCAGTTATACAAAGGGGTCAATGGCCATTATCACCTTACATTCAATGTATTTATTCAACAAACACTGACTGAGCAACTAATCAACAAATCACTAGCCCTACATTAGCCCTGAGAAGATAAACAAAAACAAAGCATGGTTGTTACTCCATCCCAAAGAGCTATAGCCTAGGAAAGGAAATAAGACAATTATGACTCAGGATAGAATGAAGGAAGTGCCATAAGCAAGGCACAAAGTGCTTTAGTTAAGGTTTTTCCCACATAATTGATTTTGTTATATCTGAAAATAAACCCAGCCCACGTTTTATAAAAGCTGCAAATAACTCCCAGGATCCAAGCACAGGTTTTATGGAATATTTCTGATCACTGCAAGGCAAGCTGCTCTAGAATCTGAACTTGGAGCTGAGTAATTATTAGAATGGATATGACTAAAGAGATAAATTCCCCACCTAACAATTTCATATCTACTAATATTTAAAAATTGCATTTCTGAAGAAAAAATAATAAAAAATAATAGAAATTGCATGATCTCTGCCTCCGAAGACAATTTGAAATGATGACCCAATACTTTACTTGAAAAATTCTAACTAAACTAGAAATGTAATAAATCTGTTAAATTCATCTCCTGGTTTTCTTTTATTCTTTTAGCAATGGTCTGATAAAATATAGTTCTGTAGAAATAAGTCTAAATAGGTAAAAACTAGAATATATATAAATTTACATTTTACAAAGGAGATTTAAGTGAACCGATTTAAATATGAACCAGTCCCACTTCACATTCCAGGGAAAGGTCTCACACTCTCTACCTAAGTACATGGCCTTTTTTTTTTTTTTTTTTTAAGTTTTACTATATTTGTGTTTACATAATTACAATGGAAGACAACTGAGAGAGGATCCAAATTAGGCTTGCTTATGTACTGAAACACATAACTTGTTACATTGTCCCCCAAATTTGGATCATTTCAGTAGTGATTATTTGGTGAATTAGATCCTAGCACTTCAGAGACAGCAGGGCCCTTAGAGATGGCTAGCTCATAATATTTTGTTTTGTCTTAATACATGGCTTTTTAAGCAAGTCAGTATACTTAACCAAAATAAATACATCAATAGCAAAAGAATGCTAGATGTCTAAGCACCACTGCATTCTAAAAATAAGATCCTCTAAATCCATCATGGTGCTTAAAATGAACATTTTTACATAATAAAAATGCTGACAGCAAAATAAAGCATTTAGCTTAAGAGGCAGGAAAAAAGCAATAAGCAATTGTATTTTTGAAAAAGGAAAACTAGCAATTTTATGAAAATCATGGCAAAGGGTTTTAGGAAAAATTATGAATGCAAAAAGGGCATAAGACAGAAGTCAAGTCTCCAGGCCTTTATCAGCTACTCGACGTACCGCAGTCCGAAGGCATTGGTGCCGCAGAAATGGAAAAAACAACGGGTGTCTCAGAACCTGGAAATAAAAACGGGTATCTTCCAATCAAACAATTTCCTTCTACTGGAAAATCTGGAAGGTCCTCTATGGTCATCTTCTAGAAAGCCACCTTTAATGAGAGGGAGAAAAAAGCGTATCTATTATATTTGTATGCAGCTTAGAATGATTGCCTTCAATCACAATAAAAAAGCCTATTTTCTTTTAATATATAACCTACTGACATTTTTTTTAAGATTTTATGTTTTAAAGTAATTTCTACACCCAACATGGGACTCAAACTTACAACCCCGAGATCAACTGTTTCATGTTCCTCCGACTGAGCCAGCCAGGCACCCCAACCCACTGACATTGTAAACTTCAACCTTCAAGAATCTCTTTTAGAGAGGAAGAGGAAAATAAAACTTCCTTTTAGCAAACTGTTGTTGAAGAATATATGTTGCTTCATAAGTCTCTTACAGACATGTAATCTTTTTAGACAAAGTCCGGGAGTAATAAAAAGCTATGTATTTCCCAATAGGTGAAAATTTTTTAAAATGCTGAGTTAATCTAAATGGGTGATCTTCTCTTTACTCACAGTAACAAAGGGACATAATATCTCTTATGGATATATCTCTATCTATCATAGGATCTGACACAGGTTATATTATCTATCATCCAGTAATAGCTCACGTCATATGCTCATCACATGAAAATCATATACTTTAGAATGTTATTATTTTCTGAAATCCCCGAACACTTTACTGAAAATCAATCACATCATTTATACAAATATGGATCTAAGAGCTTATTGGCGTTCACTTCTTATCAACGTACAAGACCTATTCAGTCTATCCTAGCAGAAGTTGGAAGGCCATGCCTTGTAAACCACGTCACTTATATTACCTCTTTTTCCCAGAAAACATGAGAGCTTAGAATAAATGTGCTATAAACTGGACTGCTAATACAGCCTAGCTCATTTGGAAATGGCATAGAAGGCAGAGAAAATGTTAGTAAAACTGAACTATAAAGGTAAAAAAGCATCCAGTTTCTTTTGTATCAAATCTTTAAAGTCTGAAATATTATGAATCTCTATATCTGTTTTAAATATAAGCAAAAAACTATATTAAAAACTAAATAAAAATGATTTTTGACCATTTTAATAGAAAGAATAAATCAAGATAGTTAACTGATAGCTTACTCTACCAGGTCATGGTAGAGTAAGGATATTACTCAATGTGTGTTCTATTATACTTCGTTAACCAGTCCTATATCTAACTTACCCATCTTTACTCCACCATCATCATCCTGCTCCAAAGAAACAGTCACCCCTCTGAGCTAACTGGTTCCTCTCCAACTTGATTCATATGTTTTCTGAAGACTAGCAGGAACTGGTAAAGAGTAAGGTGATTTCTTTTTTTTTTTTTTTTTTTTTTCATAAAGTGCATGCTTATATGGATGTGTGGATATTCTATATTAAAGAACCTAATCCAGTGTTAACTATATTAAAGGTATTCAAGTTTCTTGGATGCTAAAGTTACTTGCCACCCAATACTTTGAATCATTTTGACAGTAACTCTGCCACATAAACAGGAAAAAAAAGGAACGGGTATCACACAGCAAGGTGATCTTCCTCAAATACTTCAATTCCAAAAAGTAACACACACCCTAGAGTTTCTCATCCAAAAATGTTTTTTGAAAGTGATCCTGAGACCACCTGTCATTTCCTTGCAGGTTGTGGAGATCCTTAAAGAACTGTACCTTATACAACTATCACTTACCACAGGAGCTAGATTAGCATCTTACACATATTTTTTATTCAAATCCTAGATTCAGGGTGGAAAGATGATTCACTTAACAAGATGTAATAAACGTTGTCATTTCACATGCTAGATACTTCAAGCCCAGAGAAGCTACAATATTACTTGATCAATGTACTGAACATTCTTTGTATTTTGTGTCTTCATTGCATTGTTCCCTAGTCCCATTTCCTTTCCTTTATGAAAAACTCAACATTCCACCTTTTGCCCCATTTAAGAAAACTGCACACCTCTATAAACTGGTCAAGTTTTAGAATCCTTCCTGAAAGCAATCTCTGGATCTAAAGATCTATGACACCTGGGATCTTGATCAAACTTGGTCAAAGTAGAATCAAATTCTCCAAATTTTGATTTATGCAGGAATCCCATCCTACACCATTACCCCAAATCAGCTCTGAGAAAATGCAACTTGTTTTAAAAGTAGTTGGTTTTTTAAGATTTTATTTATTTATTTGACAGAGAGAAACACAGCAAGAGAGGGAACACAAGCAGGGGGAGTGGGAGAGGGAGAAGCAGGCTTCCTGCGGAGCAGGGAGCCCAATGCGCGGCTCGATCCCAGGACCCTGGGATCATGACCCGAGCTGAAGGCAGACGCTTAACGACTGAGCCACCCAGGCACCCCAGAAAATGCAACTTGTAACATGGCTCTAGTATCTAATGATTTTTCAAGGATTCCTGGCCATGCCCTAAAACAGAATGGTGGTGAGTGGAGATGTCCACTAACTTCTTCAAAGTGGTTCAGGGCTGGTAGGCCTCACTAAGGAACCTCACTGAGGTCAAGAGACTCTCTTGGTTTTATTTGGAATATGGTTCAAGGGCGGCATCTTTGAGCTACTCAACTAACAGGACATCTAAGCTGTATCCACACAAGTTGGAATCATGAGGCCCTTCCATTCAATTTCATACTGTAGCATGCCATGAGTCTTTATATTCATTAGACTCCCAGGAAAGTATTATAACCAAAATAAGCATTTAAACCATATCTCTAAGTATCCTTTAAAAATTAAAAATAGGGGCGCCTGGGTGGCCCAGTCAGTTAAGGGTCTGCCTTCGGCTCAGGTCATGATCCCAGGATCCTGGGATCAAGCCCCACATCTAGCTCGCTGCTCGGCGGGAAGCCTGCTTCTCCCACTCCCACTCCCCTTGCTTGTGTTCCTGCTCTCACTATCTCTCTGTCAAATAAATAAAATCTTTAAAAAAAATTAAAAACAGAATTACTATATGATCTGGTGATTCCACTACTAGGTATTTAATCAAAGAAAATGAAAACACTAAACCAAAAAAATATATGCACCCTATGTTTACTGCAGCATTATGTACAATAGCCAAGATATGGAAACAACCCAAGGGTCCATCCATAGATGAACGGATGGAGACAATGTGGGTGTGGGGTTTGTGTGAGTGTGTGTGTGTGTGTGTGTGTGGAATATTACTCAGTCATAAAAAAGACTATCTTGCCATTTGCAACAATATGGATGCACCTAGAGGGTATAATGCTAAGTGAAATAAGTCAGACAGAGAAAGACAAATACCATATGATTTCAATCATATGTGGAATTTAAGAAACAAAACAAAGGAACAAAAAAGGAAGGAAGGAAGGAAAGCAGGGAGGGAGGGAGGGCAGACTCAAATACAGGGAACAAACCAGTGGTTGCTAGAGGGGAGGTAGGTGGGGGGTGAGTGAAAAGGATAAAGAATATTAAGAATACACTTATCATGATGAGCACTGAGTAATATAGCAATTGTTGAGTCATTTTACTGTATACCTAAAACTAATATAACACTATGTGTTAATTATACTTTAATAAAAGATGGTAACAAAAAATTTTCTAATGTAACATCTCCAGTTACCCACTTATTTGTTACATACATGCATCTGTTCAATCACTAAACAAGTATTTACAGTTTTTAATACTTAGTAGGCTCTGGGCCCTACAAAGATTATAAAAGACACCTGCCCTCAAGAATTTCACTTAGTCACTCAACAAACATTTGCTGAGTGTTTCTAAGTCCTAGGCTAGGTAGCAAAGGGAAAGAAAATAGGTATGCCCTTGTCCTCACATAGATTAGAGTCTCATACAAGATTCCTATAAGAAAGCTGTAGGTACTATATAGTTGTAACAAGTGCTGGATTCAAGAGAGCCAGTGGAAGCTTCCTGAAGGACTAAATTTATAGCTGCAGTGTCCAAACAGGTGGCTACTAGCCACATGTGGCTATTTACATTAAATTAAAAAATCAGTTCCTCCATTGCTCTAGCCCCATACAAGTACTCAAAAGCCACACGTGGCCAGTGGCTAACCTGTTGAAACAGTGCAGAAACACTTCCCACCTTGCAGAAAGTTCTACTGAATATCACTGAAGCAAAACAATGCTGCTCAAACTCCAGATGAGAAAATAATAAACAGCAAGAAACAAATAAAGGTTAACAAACAAAGCAAGCCAATAGCATCACAGTTAATTATACATAATTAACAAGGGAACTAGGCCTAAAAGTAACCAGATATTTGTAGGGGTTTTTTTAAGATTTTATTTATTCATTTGAGACACAGATAGAGAGAGAGAGAGAGAGAGAGAGAGAGAAAGCATGAGCAGGGGGAGAGGGAGAGGGAGAAGCACGCTCCCCGCTGAGCCAGGAGCCCGATGCAGGGCTCAATCCCAGGACCCCGGGACCATGACCTGAGCCAAAGGCAGACACTCAACCATCTGAGCCACCCAGGCGCCCCTATTTGTAGGTTTAAACAATGAGAGTTGAGGGGCATCTGGGTGGCTCAGTCATTGAGCGTCTGCCTTCAGCTCAGGTCATGATCTCAGGGTCCTGGAATCAAACCCCGCATCAGGCTCCCTGCTCCACGGGAAGCCTGCTTCTCCCTCTCCCACTCCCCCTGCTTGTGTTCCCTCTCTCACTGTGTCTGTCTCTGTCAAATAAATAAATAAAATCTTTTAAAAAAAATTAAAAAATAAACAGAGTTGATTCTATAACATAAAAATCACTAGTACATGTTTCAAAATTAGGGGCGTTATAAACAATAAAAGACACCATATAAATATCACTTTTTTAAAAGGCCCTGCTGGTGGAAACTGTATCTGGTAAATCTGAAATATCTGTAATAAATACTACAAATAATATACCACTTGCTAAATCGTCTATAAAATCGAAATAAAAATATTCATTCCATTTCGAGATCTAATCTTACAGCCCTGGTAGTCCATTATCAAACGAAAGCATTAAAAATGCATATTAATGTTAGCAAAATAAGATAGAACCGGGATGGTTCTGCATAATAAAAACAGAGAAAGCTAGACTTCTGCCATTTTCAATTCCCTGCTTTTCGTCCATCGTTGCTACATGTCCCGCACCGCCTGATCTTCTGCCATTTAGACTTACTTTAAATTTTGCAGAAGATTCATAAATGCCAATGTGAAAATGAAGCACAAGTATTTGGGGGATGTTTCCGAAGAGGGCGTTTCCTGGTTGAAATATTTCAAAGGCGCCGATTTTTACTATGATATTGCTACAATACAAACCACAGTCTAGCTGGGAGCATAGAGTAAGTTCCTATCCCAGGAGAACATCATCCTCTGATACGTATCAAAACATTGTCTCAGAGTTTAAATCCAAACTGCCTCTTTAGTCTCTGGGTGAATGCACAACCTGACATCTCAAAGAAAGCTGACATTACAAGCCCATCAATCTAACCTACAAGGATGAGGTCTAACCCACGTCTCTGTTTAGGGCAGGTCTCGATGCAAGTGCTGCTCCCCCCAACTTCCCTTCCCAATTCCCACGATTTAGAATTAAGGGATCGCAGGACAGCCAAAGACCGGAAGCAAAGTCATTTGGTTTCGCGTCGCATTCCCACTGGCAAAAGGTTTCTTAAACAATTTAAGAAGCCAAGGGAGGCACGAGAGATGTGAGGAGGCCCGCCGCGGGAAAAAGACGGACGGCGGCGCGGCGCACGCAGCACCTCGGCGCGCGGGCGGCACTCCCAGGGCGCCCGGGCGGCCGCGGCGGCAGGGCGGGGGGGCCGCAACCGCACACCGCGCCGCACCTCCTCCGAAAGTTAAAGCGCCCGCCAGGAGCGCAGAGGAGAAACCCACCTCCCCGAAGGTGGGCCGCGCCGCCCCCGCCCCGGCGCCGCCCCAGGGAGGCCTGCGGGAGCCCGCGACACCAGCGCCGCTGGACGCGGCCGCAGGTCTCCCCGCGCCTCCGCGCCGCCCTCTCCGAGCCGCCAACCGCCCCTCGGGCCCCGGCGCCCCCGCCCTGCCGGCCCGGGCCCCCCGCCCCCCGCCGCGCGCTCCCGCCCCACCTGCTCCTCGGGTCCTGTCGGGGCGGCCGGCTGCGAACGCGGAGGCGCGGAGGCAAGGCCGAGAGGCGCGCTCCTCCGTCCGGCGCCCGTCTCCAGGGGCCCGCCGCGCAGCCTCCCGCCGCTCCGCTGCCCGACCTCGGCCGGCCCCTCCCGCCTGCCGCCTCCGCGCGCGCCGAGCCGGGCCCCACGCGGGGTCGGCGCGCGCGCAGTGCAGGCGTCCGGGCCGCGCGCAGGCCTCGGCCCCAGCCCCGCGCACGCGCCGGGGCCCGGGGGAGGGGGCGGGAGCGCGCCCCTGTGCTCGCGCGCCTCCTGCCTGCGCCCCGGCGGCCCCCCAGCCGAGGCAAGGTTGGGCCTCCAGGTCAGCACTGTCTGGGGTTAAGCTTGCGTGGAGGTGGTGCTGCTGTGACATTTCCACCGCAGCTCGAGGGCGGCTCTCGGAGGAACCCCGCGGGTCCCAGGGCAGTGAGCGGGGGAAGCAGCCCTGCGCGCGCTGTATTCCTCCATTAAAGCCCTTAGCTAGCCCCTGGGGCTAGGAGCGCCCCCCTGACTTCACAAGGGCAGCGAGGGCGTCTTACCTGTTTGGGGGCTCCCCTGTGTCTAACCCTGTGCATGGTCCAGAGTAGGTCCATCAGCCAGTTACCTGTTTGCAGGTCTTACCGTAAAAAGCCTAGTCAACAGTATGCCCAGGTTGAATAATTACACGCAAAGGTGTCCGTGTAGACAGTGTAAACAGTAGTCATCCCAGAACTTTATTTCCCCTACTGCTTTGCTCATTTCTTACCTTCTTCTCTCTTGGTCCCAGTCCCCATCCCCCAAGAGCCAGAAGGTGGTGAAACTGTGACAACTAACAGACAGAAATACTGACATCCTGGTTCTCCATCATCCAGTGAAGGAAAGGTGTTACTTGACACTTAATGAGTCCCCTTAATGAAGGCACTTAATGAGTCCATTGTTTCCCCGTGACTGAGGTTTATAACACTGAATCACTAGTGTTACACCATAACAACTCTCTCTGAGGCCTTTTTGTTCTGGTTTTGCTATACAGATTACTGCAATGTGCTTCTGTGTTCACCACGCGTAGTGCCCAGGAATAGCAGATGGTGAATGAACGAATGTCTATGTCTCTGCACGAGCAGAGGTAAGTGCTGGGGCATACCAGAGCATCTTTTCCTGTTAGAATCATCCATTCCAGGGGTTAGAAAAGGCCCCCTTCCAGTTGCTCGAGTCTCCCTTATGACATCCTTTCACCAAATGGCCATAGTTGAATGCCTTCAGTAACCAGGAACTCATGGAACACTACATCAAAAACTAATGACGTAATGTACGGTGATTAACATAACATAATTTAAAAAATGTAAAAAAAAAAAAAAAAAGTAACCAGGAACTCACTTCCTTTGAAAACAGCCATTTTATCATAGGTCAACCTTGTTGACAAGGCCTTCCTGCCTTGAGCCAAATCCAGCTCCCTGCATCTCCTCCTTACTGGGTTTCTACCCTGGGGATTTCCAGATCATGTCTCACTCCAATTCAAGGAATCCAGGACAAGCATTCCCCATCCCTTAGGCTGCTCCTTATAAGACATGGTCAAGATCCCACTCACCAGCATGTTAAAGGACTCTTTACGATGCACCCCAGCTTGTCTAGAGCTCATGAACGAACAGTAGTGTCCTGTTGCATGCAGAGAGGATAGAAACCCTCACCTCTTTCTAGGTCCTATGCTTCTATTAGCATAGCTCAAGATATCAAAAGAGTTGTTTGCAGCAGTCACATTACATTGTTAAATCGGGTGGAACATACTGTCAACTGAAATCCATAAAACTTATGTAATATTTAAACACCATGACCATCCCACAGTCCCCGGTCAGCTGCCAGTTTCTTTGTCCCTGCAAGTTCAGCATCTTCATGCACTCTTAGGGATGATAATGTGACACAGAGGCTTCCTCCCTTTGGGGCTTCCACCTCCCTCACCCTGATCTCATCTTACCACCCTGTTTTCGTCTCACCCCGCCCACCTCTTTAACTGGTTAAAAGAAGAAAGGCAATCTGCCTTCGGTTGGCTTTCAGCAACTGTAAATGAGTCCTATGGTCAGTAAGCCACAAAAACTCAGAAAGATTTGTGTGTAACAGAAGTTTCCAGAGGTATACAATTCACTTTTATTGCTGATTTAAATTATCCCTCTGAGATACCACTATTAGTAGGTGACAGGGTGTGGCTAGCTGGGTTGTTTTTAACTGTAATGAAACTTTCTGTTCAAACCAGCCAGGTTACTGACTTTTTCTGCTACACCCAAATACAAAATGGTTGAGAGGCAATTTCCCAGGATACCAAGCCATTAGGGAGAGACTCTCCTACTCACTTGGTTGCCTTTGTCCAAAAAATTGAGTTTACACCATAAACCATCATCAAGGTAGTTTATGGGGTAATACTTCCTAGAACACCCCATGGGTCATACAAGTATGACCAGGTATTGCCTGTTTAACAAGAGTTGGACTGGGCAGTGATATGGGACCAGAACTTGGAACTTGAACCATCTACTGGGATGAGAAGGTACATGGGGATATGGTCCAGCTGCACCTGCTAAGATGCAATTATGTCTAAGGCACAGCAAGGTTCCTGGACAACGAAGCATAAACCACAGTCCCAGGAGGTGATCAGCACCAGGGTGGAGAAGGGGCATTACTGACTGACTACTATATGGCCCTTACCAATGGGATTTCACTTGCCTTCACTTTACAAATGAAGAAACAGACTCCAGGAGGTTGTGGGACTTGGCTCAGTATACCTTGGGGCAGAAAAAGATTCAAACCTAAGTCTATCTGATATAAAGTCCTGTGTTGATCCACTATTTTGTATTACCTACACAGGGTGTCCTTTTGTGCATTCAGGACTCAGAAATGCTGTGTCAAACAGCATGGATCATTCAGAAATTCAGACAGAGTCAGAAAATCAGCATCAACTACTAGAGATTTACCCCAAAGATACAAATGTAGTGATCTGAAGGGGCACCTGCACCCCAATGTTTATAGCAGGAATGTCCACAATAGCCAAACTATGGAAAGAGCCCAGATGTCCATCAGCAGATGAATGGATAAAGATGTGGTATATGTATATATACCATTGTGTGTGTGTGTATATACATATATATATATATATATATATATATATATACATAATTGCATCTTAGCAGGTGCACACAATGGAATATTAGCCATCAAAAAAATGAAATCTTGGGCGCCTGGGTGGCTCAGTTGGTTGGGCGACTGCCTTCAGCTCAGGTCATGATCCTGGAGTCCCAGGATCAAGTCCCGCATCGGGCTCCCTGCTCAGCAGGGAGTCTGCTTCTCCCTCTGACTCTCCCCCCTCTCATGTGCTCTCTTTCTCTCATTCTCTCTCTCAAATAAATAAATAAAATCTTTAAAAAAATGAAATCTTGCCATTTGCTACGACATGGATGAAACTAGAGGGTATTATGCTAAGTGAAATAAGTCAATCAGAGAAAGAATTACATGATATCACTCATATGTGGAATTTAAGAAACAAAACAGAGAAGCATAGAGGAAGGGAGGGAAAAATAAAAGAAGACGAAATCCAAGAGGGAGACAAACCAAAAGAGACTCTATTTTTTTAAATTTTTATTTGTTTGAGAGAGAAAGAGAGCATGAGCAGGGAGAGGGGCAGAGGGAGAGGGAGGAAGAGAAGCAGACTCCCTGCTGAGCAGGGAGCCCCATGCAGAGCTCAATCCCAGAACCCTGGGATCATGATCTGAGCCGAAGGCAGACACTTAACTGACTGAGCCTCGCAGGTGCCCCCCCAAAAGAGACTCTTAGCCATTGGAAACAAACTGAGGGTTGCTGGAGGGGAGCGGGGTAGGGGGATGGGCATTAAGGAGGGCACATGATGTAATGAACACTGGGTGTTATATACAACTGATGAATCACTGAACTCTACCTCTGAAAGTAATAGTACACTGTATGTTAATTAACTGAATGTAAATTAAGTTTCATTTAACTTAAAAAAATAAAGTCAGCATGAAAAAGGTCTCTCAGCAGCTAACAGGACCCAAACCATGAGAAAAGGATGAAAGACATCGGCAGAAGAAGACCAAGTCACTGCTCTTATGGGGACTGAGATATTGGGCAGGATATCATATCGTTCACAGGGGAAGAACACAAGGACTCAGTTTCCAGAATCTGGTTGTACAGAGCATTAGGACCACAAGAGACATTCAGCTCTCAGAACTGGGATGTCAGATTGTCACTAGCACCAACTATGGGAAGTGGTTAAATGCAAAATATCAGAGCACTGGATAGAGCCCCTAAAATCCTTATATTTGCAGATGATATGATCATCAGCGTAGAAAAGCTAACAAAATCAACAATTAGAAGTAATAAGTAAGTCCAATAAGTTTGCCAAGTACAAGATCAAATGCTAAAAGTAGTTTCTTCTACATCGGCAGTAAGCAACCAGGAAATATAATAGACAATAAGATTCACAATAGCAATAAAACTCTAAAGCGTAATATCCAGGAATTAACCTAACAACTTGCAAGAGCTTTATGGAGAAAATGTCAAAATTCTATTTAAGGACATAAGGGAAGATTGAATAAGTGAAGATATGCCACGGATAGGACGTCTGGACATTGTAAAAATCCATTTAATTTCTAAATTCAATGTTATACCAACCAAAATTCCAGCAGGAACTCAAATCTTAAGAAATTATATAAATTTATAAAACATGTAAGGAAAAATAAAATGTTTAATGGTTAAGTCAGTTTTGAAAAGCAAGAACAAAGAGATGAAAACTGCCTTGCCAAATATTGTTATTACCACAGTGATAAAAAATAGTGTGGTCCTAGTATGGGAACAGATAGAACAGTAAAACAGAATAGAAGACTCAGAAACAGACTGATGAGGCCTCAATATATATAAAGGTGATACCACAAATCAATGAGAAAAATATACATTATTTAGAAGATGTTGTTGGGGAAACTGGCTTAGTTATATGTCTACCATATACAAAGGTGAACTCCAGGTGAATTAAGGACCTGCAATTTGAAAGGTAGAAAAGAAAATGTAGGAAAATATCTTTATGAATGTGGGGTAGGGATTTACTTCATAAAACAAGACTGCAAAGACACAAACCTTAAAACAAAAGGCTGGGAGATTTGACTACATCACAATTAAGGCTTTTCTCCAATGGAGAATACCATAGAAAAAGTTGACAGCAGGACGCCTGGCTAGCTCAGTTGGTTAAGTGTCTGCCTTCGCTTGGGTCATGATCCAAGGGTCCTGGGATCAAGTCCCACGTTGGGCTCCCTGGCCCCCCTCGACCTGCCACTCCCCCTGCTTGTACTCTCTCCCTCTCCCTCTCTCTGACAAATAAATAAATAAAATCTTTAAAAAAAAAAAGAAAGAAAGAAAAAGATAACAGCAGCTGACAAATTGGGAGAAGATATATGATATGTTCAAAAGCAGCTAGGGATTAATACCTAAAATATGTAAGGAACTTCTGCAAGTCAACAAAAAGAAGTTAGGAAATCCAATATAAAAATGAGAAAAGGATAGAAATAGGCAGTTCACTGAAGGAAGAGCCAGAATGGCAAGCATAGGAGAGATGCTCAAACCCATTAGTGAAAGAATAGAAATGCAAACAGTAAGGTACTACGTACACAAATAGTCACCGGTATGCTGGCGTATTAAAAAAACAGCTCTCAGGACGGGGGGGGGGGGGGGGGGGGGGGGGGGGGGGGGGGGGGCGTCCTACTTTTTCAGGTTTGCCAACTTCCATGGTGCAAATACTCTCACCCCTGCTGATTTCATGCTACCAGCATGAGGTCACTGAACAAGGAGTTCAGAAGAAATGTGTTCAATCTGCTCTCATGAGCCAGTTCCAACACACCATTGCTTCATCCATCCACTTAGCAAAAATTAGTCAAATGGTCCGAAATATTGGCAAAGATATGGGGAAATGGAATCCTCATGCACTGTTGATGGCAATTTAAACTGGTAAATACATTCCATAGAGCAATCTGGTGGTATTTAGTGAAAAAAGAATCAGCATGCTTTATGACTCAGCAGTCACCCTCCTAGACATGCCTCTGAGAAACTGTAACCCTTTTTTTTCCCCAAGATTTATTTATTTTAGAGAGAGAGAGAAAGCTCAAGCAGGGGGAGGGGCAGAGGGAGAGGGAGAAGCAGACTTTCCACTGAGCAATGAGCCCGACACAATGCAGGGCTCAGTCTCAGAACCCTGAGATCATGACCTGAGCTGAAACCAAGAGTGAGACACTTAACCAGCTGAGCCACCCAGGCTCCCCTGTTTGTAACCTTCTTCATGTGGCTTCCAGGAAGCCATTCTCTCATTTACTAGATGATCTCATCCAATCTGTGGCTTTAAATGCCATCTCTATTTTCATGATTCTGAAGTTTCTATCTCTAGCCCTGAACTTCAGACATACATCCAACTGCCTACTCCACATCTAATCTGTAGTGTATTGTAAGCATCTCAAATATAGCATGTTCAGAATAGAACCCTTCCCCGCGACCTTCCCATGTTGGTAAGTGACAGCTGGATTCTTCTGTCTGCTAACTGGAATCATCCTTCCTTTCCTTCATAGTTCTGGATTTCCCAAACCAAAGTCCCATTCCCCATTTTTTAAAAAAGCTCATGACATCAATTTTTAAAGATATTTGTTTATTATTTATTTGAGAGAGCATGAGAGAGCACAAGCAGGGGGAGCTGCAGAGGGAGAGGGAGAGGCAGGCTCCCCACAGGACCCCGGGATCATGACCTGAGCCGAAGGCAGACGCTTAACTGACTGAGCCACCCAGACGCCCCTACCCATGACATCATTTTTTGATGAAGAAATTTATCAATATCACTGAAGTCCTTACAAATCAATAGTCACCAGAGACCCAGAAACTTCCTAGTGCTGTCACCCCAGGTTGCTTTCCTCTAACCCATCTCCTTTTCTTTCTCAAGGCTTCAGGTGGGGACCTGTCGACTGAAGTGGACCACAAACTGAAGACCCCCACAAGCCTCATTATCTGAATCCATGATTCTCATTCTTGGTTGCCTGCTGGAATCTCCTGAATATCATTCACAAAATATACGCTAGAGACTCCCTCAAATATTCTAACTCAACTGGCCTAATTTAAAGTCATGCTATTCTAAAAGTTTATCATCTCTTTTGTTAGTCTAAGTCCCAAAAAGACACTAACAAATGAAGTTTTCAAACCCAACTCGTTCCTGTGTGGGGAACTGCTTCCCAGGTCCTCCGGTAGGTGCCACTCCCAAACACCATATGACACAACCATTTTTAAAAGTCTTCTTTATGGGCCAACACAAAGGAAGAAGGAACAAAGGGAATGTTTCACAGCATCAGGATTAAAACTGACAGTCCAAGAACTAAATTTTTCACACTGGCTGCTCAAAGTTTTGGCCACCCAGATACTTCCAGAAACATCTCTGGCACACAGTAATGGCATCAAGACAGTTTCCACTAGGATGTTCATTCCAATGTCCCCACCCCCCTTTGAAACATACCTTAACCAAGCCTCTAGATATATCATGCATAGAAAATGTGAAGCATAAAGGAATACCATAAACACCATCGTGAGGATGCAATAAGCCAAATCCAAAATGTGGGAACTTCTAGAGGGCAGATAACCTAATTCCTACAATCAGAAAGTAACCAAAGGAAACTGGTATAGATCAAAAGAGACATAAGAGCTCTATCCACAACCTATAATTGGCAGAGCATTTGAATCTGGATGCAAAGAAATGTAAAAAAATTATTGAGAGTTGAGGGAAATTTAACCTGAATTGGACATTAAATTACACCAAGAAATTTTTGTTGAGATGCCTGGGTGGCTCAGTCGTTGAGTGTCTGCCTTCAGTGCAGGTCATGATCCCAGGGTCCTGGGATCAAGCCCCGCATCAGGCTCCCTGCTCTGCAGGAAGCCTGCTTCTCCCTCTCCCACCCTACCCCCCGCTTGTGTTCCCTCTTTCTCTGTGTCTCTCTCTGTCAAATAAATAAGTAAATAATCCTCTTTAAAAAAGGAATTTTTGTTAATTTCCTTTTTTAATTTTTTAAGACTTTATTTATTTATTTATTTGATAGAGACAGAGAGAGAGCACAAGCCTGGGGTGCAACAGAGGGAGAAGGAGAAGCTGGCTCTCTGGTGGGCAGGGAGCCTGACGCGGGGCTCAATCCCAGGACCCTGGGATCATGACCTGAGCTGAAGGCAGATGTTTAACCGACTGAGTCACCCAGGTGTCCCTTTTTGTTAATTTCTTTAGGTATGAGAATAACATTGTGATTATGTTTTTATTAAAAAGTCCTTATCTGTTAGAGATTCATTCTGAAGTATTTATAATAAAATGTTTAATGTCCAGGATTTGCTTTAAAGTGGTCCATTAAAAATAAGTGTGTGATGGGAATGTAAATTAGTCCAACCACTATGGAAAACAATATGGAGTTTCCTCAAAAAATTTAAAATAGGTTTACTGTACAATCCAGCAATTCCACTTCTGGGTTTATACCCAAACATAATGAAAACAGGAGTTCATCAAGATATCTGCACTTCCATGTTTATTGTAGCATTATTCACAATAGCCATGATATGGAGACAACCCAAATGCCCATCAATGGATGAATGGATAAAAAAGATGTGATACATATATACAATGGAATATTATACAGCCATGAGGAAGGATATCCTCCCATTTGCAACAACATGGATGGACTTTGAGCAATTACACAAAGTCAGTCAAACAGAGAAAGACAAGTACCGTATGATATCACTTTTATGTAGAAGCTAAAAAAATTAAAACTGTAAAAATTAGAGATTACCAGGGGATGGAGTTAGGGAGGTTAAGAGTGATGGTGTTTAAAGACACAAACTTATAATGAATAATAAATAAGTCTTAGAGATGTAATGAATCTAGACAATAATGTACTGTAATTAGGCAATGTAATAAATATCACTACATTGGTAATCATATTACAATATATAAATGTATCAAAATAACACACTATACACCTTAAACCAACACAATGTTACATGTCAAATTTATTCAATTAAAAAAATGTGTATATGATGGGAGGGATAGATGAAACAAGAATGACAAAATATGGATCATTATTAAAACTGAATGATGGGCATATTATTCTTTCTTTTTTGCATAAATTTGAAATTTTTTCCATAATAAAATCTTCAAAGAGAAAGCTCCAGAGGGCAGGGATTTTAGTCTATTTCTGTCCGTGCTGTATCCTCTGTACCTAGGACAGTACTTGGCACATAATACGAATTCAATAAATAGTTGTTGATAGAAGGGCCCAGTTCTTTAAGATTTCAGTCTCAGTAAAGATATAACTATTATGTCCAAGGAGTTTAGAAATCACAGAAGTTGCCTTGTATCACATGCATGCACACACTCTAAAATGGGAAGCATTGGGCGCCTGGGTGGCTCAGTTGGTTAAGCAACTGCCTTCGGCTCAGGTCATGATCCTGGAGTCCCGGGATCGAGTCCCGCATCGGGCTCCCTGCTCAGCAGGGAGTCTGCTTCTCCCTCTGACCCTCCTCCCTCTCATGCTCTCTGTCTCTCATTCTCTCTCTTGCAAATAAATAAAATCTTAAAAAAAAAAAAAATAAATAAAATAAAATAAAATAAAATGGGAAGCATTCATACCTCACTACAGCTCTATCAAGTTGTCTTTCCAGCAGCTGCTTGCAAAACCAATACAGTTTCATCCCTGTTCGCTGTAAGCCATCAGCTGCTTAATAGCATCTTGATTAGGGGTTGAAAGAATTCCAGACCCACTGGAGCTTCCCCCGTGGGTAGAGAGCAGTTTGCATCTTGTCAACAATGTATCAAATGACTCACCTAACAAAGAAAGCCATTGACAGACCAATTAGCTGGTACTGAGTCATGAGGAAGTCTCCGTTGTGACAAAACCTGCATTGATAATGCGATGGGTTCTGACATTTCTCATCTAACCATATTTGTAACAGCAGGGAACAGTTAAGGCAAAAATAAATGTGAATTGCGTTTTTAGATTCACATGGGGTTCAACCAAAAAGAATAAGTTACAGGTTATCTTGTTAAGGCCCATCAAAAAATCCCATGCAATCTCTTTATCACCATCAAAATAATCACAAGCATAAGCACTGAATGACACTTAGAAAAGCAACCAAATTGCATACTGGTCCATCAAATCACCAGAAATAAACTGAATGCCTCCCAGCTGAAGGGAAGTATGGACTCTAACGCAGTATAAGATTCACCCCGAGTTTTTTAGGATAAGAGGAAGAGGGTTGGGGCTACAATTATGTGCGACCTGAGCTGGAACCCCAGAACCATCTTTCCCTAGCTCTGTAAACCGAGCAAATCACTTAACTTCACTGAGCTTTAGTTTGCTTTGTTGTAAAATGAGATCATGAATACCTGACTCTGGGGCACCTGGGTGGCTCAGTCGGTTAAGCATCCCACTCTTGATTTCAGCTCAGGTCATGTCTCAGGGTCGTCTGCTTGAGATGCTCTCCCTCTCCCCCTCCCTCTCTCTCTGCCCCTCCCCCGACTCACGCACTCTCTCGCGCATGTGCTCTCTCTCTCTCTAAAATAAATAAATAAGGGGCACCTGGGTGGCTCAGTCGTTAAGCATCTGCCTTCAGCTCAGGTCATGATTTCAGGGTCCTGGGATCGAGCCCTGCATCAGGCTCCCTGCTCCACAGGAGATCTGCTTCTCCCTCTCCCACTCCCCCTGCTTGTATTCCCTCTCTCACTGTGTGTCTCTCTGTGTCAAATTAAATAAATAAATAAATAAAATAAAATAAAATAAAATAAAATCTTTTTAAAAAAATACCTGACTCCAAGTGGGTGCTCAGTAAATACCTGGATGACAACTATAGCATGTGGTCATGAAACATGAGCATGAGAAAAGAATACCAACAACCTGCCGAAGAAACAGTGTTAGTCCTAGGGATTTCCCAAGAGGGAGAGCACATTGCAGGATGGGGTGATCAGGAAGGCCTTCAAGGAAGAGATATACTTAGAGTTAAGTGGGGAGGATAATGAGTTACATAAATGAGGAGCTAGCATTTACTGAGGGTTTAGTATGTGCTATGCATTGTTCTAAGCATTTTCATGGATTATTTTACTCCTGAAGGAGAAATATCATTTAGTTTCATCTTTCAGCTGGAGAAATAAAGGCACAGAGTAGTTAGGCAACTTGCTCTAGATCATACAGTGGGGGCACCTGGGTGGCACAGTGGGTTAAGCGTCCTACTCTTGGTTTCCATTCAGGTCATGATCTCAGGGACCTGATCTCAGGGTTTCGAGACTGAGCCCCACATGGGACTCTGCGCTGAGCATGGAGTCTGCTTAAGTTTCTCTCTCCTCCCCCTCTGCCCCTCCCCCTCAAATAAACAAATGAATCTTAAAAAAAAACACACACACAGTAAATAGCAGAATCAGGATTTGAATCCAGGCAGTCTAGTTCAAGAGATTAAACTCTTAACCACGATGCTTTGCAAGAGAGAGGATTGGAAGCAGAAAAGCTGACCATATGTTTGAAGGATGTAAAGAGTCTAGCTAGCACAGAGCCTGTGGTATAGACTGGTAGAAGATGAGCTGGAAAGGGAGTTTGAGGCTAGATCAAGAATGGCCTCGAACGTCACACAAGGAGGCTAAGAGACTCTTGCGGGGATGAAGAAAATCCACCATAGAATCTGTCAGCAATGTTCAAAATAGAAACTCCTACCTCATCTTTATGCCCCATATCTGTTTTGCTCTCTTAATAAAAAACCTGAAACAAAAGCATACTTAAAAATTCAGGCATTTTGAAGTGAAATTTAGCAACTAAAAATAAAGTTGCCTTAAGAGTGTTAGCCTTTATCAATTCAATTTAACTAGTTCTTTTAAATAGCAAATTATTTTCACAAACGATTCCTCCACAGACAGCTTAATTTAACTTAGTGTAACATGCACAGTAATGACCTGCATTCAAAATGAAGCTGAGACAAGTTATACAGATGTCCGTGGGGGATGGAAATCTATTGTTTCTGCCTTTCCCATTGCCCCCTATTAACCACTTTGAAGCATAACAATGACACCTACATATCACCAT